TGTTTGCAGTTGTTGTCACTGTTTGCAGCTGTTATCACTGTTTGCAGTTGTTGTCACTGTTTGCAGTTGTTGTCACTGTTTGCAGCTGTTATCACTGTTTGCAGTTGTTGTCACTGTTTGCAGTTGTTGTCACTGTTTGCAGTTGTTATCACTGTTTGCAGTTGTTATCACTGTTTGCAGTTGTTATCACTGTTTGCAGTTGTTGTCACTGTTTGCAGTTGTTATCACTGTTTGCAGTTGTTTTCACTGTTTGCAGTTGTTGTCACTGTTTGCAGTTGTTTTCACTGTTTGCAGCTGTTTTCACTGTTTGCAGCTGTTTTTACTGTTTGCAGCTGTTTTCACTGTTTGCAGCTGTTTTTACTGTTTGCAGCTGTTTTTATTGTTTGCAGCTGTTTTCACTGTTTGCAGCTGTTTTCACTGTTTGCAGTTGTTTTTACTGTTTGCAGTTGTTGTCACTGTTTGCAGTTGTTATCACTGTTTGCAGTTGTTTTCACTGTTTGCAGTTGTTTTCACTGTTTGCAGTTGTTTTCACTGTTTGCAGTTGTTTTCACTGTTTGCAGCTGTTATCACTGTTTGCAGCTGTTTTCACTGTTTGCAGCTGTTTTCACTGTTTGCAGCTGTTTTCACTGTTTGCAGCTGTTATCACTGTTTGCAGCTGTTTTCACTGTTTACACTGTTTGCAGTTGTTTTGCACCCATCAGCCACCGTATGAAATAACTGTGAGTCATGCATTTAAAATGACATCACAAGCTTTCTTCCTTCACCTTCCTCCTTCCTCAGTAGCAACATGATCAATGAGTTCCTGGTAGGCTTCAGTATTTTTTTAACCAGCCATGTTACAGGCATTATTCAGAAAACATTTACTGTTCATATTTGTGTATGTTACATATTTAATTAAAAGTTTAAAAAATATTTCTGTGTAAATATCTCATGTTACAATGTGACACCCGCGGCTTATAGACAAGCACGACCTATATATTAGCAATTTTTATTTTTTATTTTAATTTGGTGGGCGCGGCTTATTTTCAGGTGCACTCAATAGTCTGGAAATTACGGCAAAACAAAAAACTGATCTAAGACCGTTGTGGTGGTGTTGTGTGTGTGTGTGTGTGTGTGTGTGTGTGTGTGCAAGGGGGAGGGGCTACAATGACGTGAGAAGCACTAGCACATAAGATTTTCATTAGAAACTTTGTTATTCAAAGCAGTGGGCAACATACACACGTCCATGTTTGTTCTTACAATGTCTAAACTAAGTCCAACTCTCAACTGTTATTCAAAGCAACTACAGAAGATGTCTGGAGTCAAAAGTTTCAGTTTTTTTTTTTTCAGTTTTAGTTCCTGTCTTGGTCTGCACTCTGTCCTTGACTCACCAGGTTGAGACACAGCAGACGTCCTCCCAGAGACGCCACGTAGAGCCGTCGACGGGACGAGTGAAGGTGTGGAGAAGAAAACACGGCACCGCCACCGCAGTGGCGCTTCCAAACACACTGCTGGATCTGGAAACACACACACCTTCACTGATCACAGGCTTCAGATGATCCCAACGACCAGCAGTTTTCTCATCCTTCAAGCTCTTTCTGCATCAGTTCATGTTCGACACTCACCTGAGGGTTTAAGGCGTACACCTGTCCGTCATGTGAGCCCACCACCACCAGCCCACTGAGAGGGTCCACGGCAGGACAGCTCTTAACTGCGTCCCCTGTCTTAAACAACCACTGGGTCTCTCCGGTTTTAGCGCACAAGAAATAAACGCAGCCGTCATAACAACCTACAGAGAAAAAAAAAAGATCAAAACTGTAAAACTAATTTTATATAAGATGCAAACCTCAGTGTGGGATGTGAAAGACTCAGCTACAGCCACATCACATTTTAGAGTTGGTTGCGCAGCCATCTTGACCCAGGCTAACTCCAAACGTTAACCAGTCATACATGTACATTATCATCACTTCAATCATTACTTTCTGCAAGTTTCATTGGAATTTGTCCAGTAGTTCATGAGGTATTTTACTAACATAAGAATGAAAACCCAGACAAAGGCAGAAACAGTCATCCACCATTTGCCGGCGGTGACAGCAACATGCTAACCTACAACAACCAGGGTACCGCAGCGGGACACAGCAGCCGAGGCCTCAATTCTGTCCCCGAGAACTCGTTCCCACAGGAGGTTTCCGGTGAGCAGGTCAACCGCCTGCATCCTGTGGGAGTGGGAACCGATGAACACAGATGCTTCAGCCTCATCAGGATTTTGATTGGCTCCCTCTTGGATTAAAACCACCGGGGAGGCGTCCACACATCTGCCGGTATCTGAAGACCATCTTAGACTGAGCCTCACACCTTTATTGATATTTTGTCCTCTGAGTTTGTCTTTCTGGAAGCTTTTTGTTCCCTCAGTGTTCTTGATGTCCTTCACCTCTCCTCCTCGTCTTACTACTTTAACTGTACGCTGGTCCTCCTTCTCGTCCTCCTTCTGCTTTGTCTCAGCTGACCTGCGCTCTCTCTTTCTTTGAAGCACCAAAGGAAGGTCAGTGGGATGCTTCTTGGTCCCCGGCACTGATGACGAGCTGTCCTCCGGAGACAACAACCATGTCAGATGCTGCAACACTTCTGTGAACGTCCCATCAAGCAGAACTTCAAGGAGACTTGGAGAGGACACTCCCACAGAAGTGAGGATGTCCTCGCAAAGATGCAGCGCCGTCAACGAGTCCCCCCCACTGGACAGGAAGTTTGACTGCTCGTTGATGTTAGAGTCTTCAGGCAGACCTAATGTTTCCTGTTAAAAGAGGGTTTGAAATGTTGAACAAACCATACGTGAGCGTGTTCCATATTTAATTAGAAGTGTTAATACCTGCCACATATCCTGGAGAGTTTGTTTTAGGTTTCTGTCTCCCTGAAAAAACCTCTGACTGTCTCTTTGTCTTCTGTATAGTCTCATCAGTCCCTCCATGTCCACTTTACCTGCACAAAACAACCAAAAAATAAACTTAAAAGGATGAACAGTCCCATTCATTCATCCATCCATCCATTCATCCATCCATTCATCATCTTCCACTTGTTCTGAAGTCAGGTCGTGGGGGCAGCAGCTTGAGCAGGGATGTCCAGACATCTCTTTCCACAGCTCCTCTTCCAGCTCTTCTGGGAGGACTCCAAGGTGTTTCAGGGCCAACTGAGAGAAATAGTCTCTCCAGTGTCTCCTGGGTCTTCCCAAGGGTCTCCTCCCAGTCGGACATGGCCGAAGCACCTCCCTAGGGAGGTGCCCAGGGGCCATCCTTACCAGAGTTCATGACCACAGGTGAGAGTAGGAATAATACAATACTGCAGACGCTGCACCAATCCGTCTGTCAATCTCACGCTCCATTCTTCCTCACTTGTGAACAAAACCCCGAGATACTTGAACTCCTTCACTTAAAGCAGAACCTCACCCTCAACCTGAAGAGAGCAATCCACCCTTTTCTGACTGAGGACCATGGCCTCAGATTTGGAGGTGCCGATTCTCATCCCAGCCACTTCACACTCTGCTGCAAACTGCTCCAGTGAGAGCTGAAGGTCACGGCACAATGACGCCAACAGGACCACATCATCTGCACCCCCTGGCTGCACCAAGAAATTCTGTCCATAAAAGTTATGAACAGAATCAGTGACAACGGGCAGCCCTGGTGGAGTCCAGCTCCCACCCTGAAAGGGTCTGACTTACTACCGGCAATGTGAACCAAACTCTCGCACCGCTTGTATAGGTTCCCAATGGCTTGTACAATGGGCCCCCGACCCCATACTCACGGACCACCCCCCACAGTGTACCCCGAGGAACATGGTCAAATGCCTTCTCCAAGTCCATAAAACACGTGCAGTTTGGATGGGCAAACTCCCAAGACCCCTCGAGGACCTTAGTGAGGGTAAAGAGCTGATCCAGCGTTCCACGACCAGGACGGAACCTGCATTGGTCTCCTGGATCTGAGCTTCGACCACCAATCGAACGATCGATCAATGTACAGTCCCAAAAATGTTAAAATACAAAACAACTGCACCTCTGTTTAGCAGCTGAAGGCATTTTTCTTCAGGCTGCCAGAGTCTCAATTCAAAACTGGAGAATGTGGAGTTCAAAGATTTAAGCTACTTGAGAAACTCTGTTATTTAAGATAAATTCACTCAATCTCATCCCACTGGAGTGACTGGTCACATGCATCAAGGTGCGAAGGGTATCTGGCTTAATGCTTGTAACCTGTTCAAAATGGTTTTAACTCTCTGGTCCTGAATGTTAGTGGTAGTGACACCCTCCTGTTCTGCTGATTTGTAATGAACAAACAGCTCTTTGTTCTCTTTTTAAAAATGTACCTTTTGCTGCTGCTCGTTATTCTGCTGCTGTGAAACCTCAGCCTTTTCGGCACATCTGTAAATTCTGTCAGAGTGTGAGTTGACAGGTGTGATCAATCCGGTGTAAGAAAGCTTTGTTGGTAAATTAGCTCCATCTTATTCTCTCACTAAGCAGCTTGTTTTGAGCTTCCAGAGGCGTCTCTTCTGCTCTGTGCTGTTTGGAAATCGTCTTTGTTGTCTGCATCTCCAACTGAAATGAAGATGTCTCCTGTAGTCATCTCATACTCCCACAGGGTGTCCTTCCTTTCTATTCACACCTTCGTGCATGTGATCTCTCTTGTGAGTCAGAACATCTTCAGGGACAGGATGTATAGAGGAGCATCTTGTGCACTTAAAGCTTGCAATTCCACACTGTTCAGTCTTGAATTAAGAAAGTTCCCAGATGGGAAGTGAAACATATTCAACTACAGAATAGAAGTCCAGTTAATTTTATTTTTCATTTTTAGTTTTGGATTTGCCAAACCAACATAATGATGAACTGTAAAGGTAGAAAATAAATAAAAAGTTTGGCTTTCCTTGAGAGAATGCATAGATGGGTATAATGTTTATTTTTAGTTGATCACGGTGAAGTTAAATGGTAAATGGACTGTACTTATACAGCACCTTTCTATCTTATCCAGATACTCAAAGCACTTTACAATCTGTGCCTCACTGACCCATTCATACAGCTCTATACTAGATCTCTACAAAGATAATTGAACAAATCATTCTAAAGAGACTAATCAGAGCTTTATCACATTCATACACTGATGGACACACATCGGAGGCAGTGAGGGGTTCAGTGTCTTGCCCAGGGACACTTGGGCATGTAGCGGATTTGAACCCCCAACTCTTGCATAGGAGGACCACTGCTCTAACCACTCAGCCACAGCCGCTCCCTTTAGAGGAGGAAGATCTGGTGTTTCTTGTGTTAACCAAGGAGAAGTGCTAATTTGCAGATGTCATGAAAAGAGCGTCAACGTTTCCAGCGGCTGGTGCCTCCACTCTGCCCAGCTGAGGCGCTCTCCCTCCAGGTCATCACAGCCACCGCTTCCCAAAACTATGGCCTGTGTGTCCATGTCGTCTCCTCCGTGCACAAACATTGTGCTATCTCTTTCCACATGTTCCTGTATGTTCTACCAGCCTCGGCCCGCTGCTCTTCAGTGGAGCAGTTGAAGTCAAAAGAGAGCAGCTTAGTGAAGCAGCTTTTCTGCATTAACACATCCACAAAGTTCTGACCAGTCACTCAATACTTCTACCTTCTCAATCGCTGCCTACTCTGACAATTGTTTGTCCCTTTGGTGTCAATCAATGTGCCAGTGTATTCCAAATCACTCTTTGTCTGGCCTGTCACCTTGGACCTCCACCACGATGAGGTGGCGATCCATGGAGGAGACATAATTACCAATTAAACCAATATAAATATATTTTTTCAATCTGGGGAACTGGGGTACCTGGAGAAAACCCACACATGCACGGCAAAAACAAGCAAACTTTACACGGAAAGGTCGGGAGGCAAACCTGCGACCTTGTTTCTGTGAGGAAACGATGATAACCACTGTTCCACTGTGCTGTGCATTTGGTTGTTATTTTTATGTGGGGTTACAGGTGGGTGTGGTTTCAGAGTGTTTGATGAGCTGAACATTTTGTAGATTGGCGGTCATCTCTGTTGCACTGATGAAACAGGCACATTACTTTTTGATGAAGGATTTAATGAATGTGCTTCATGCACATTTTTGAAAACATCAATTAATTTGTCTTTGTTTGAGAAAAATATTCAATCTGGTTTTGTGCAGGAACGAGACAAACAACCATTCAGTCTCTCACTCACACCTAGAGACAGTTTAGAGTTACCAGTCAGTCTAACATGCATGTTTTTGGTCTGTGGGAGGAAACCGGAGTTACTGGAGAAAACCCACGCATGCACGAAGAGAACATGCAAACTCCACCCAGGAATGCTGGAAGGTGAACCTCCAACCTTTACGCTGAAACCTCTAAGCACAGAACAAGTTCTCAAAGCATGTGAGAACAAAAAGATGTAATTTTCTTCACTAAACAGCGACAACAAAAACAATTTTCCTGACGTCTTGCAGAGTATAAATCAACCTTAAGATGATCTTTGTTTATGGGCCAACTGTGCAGTGTCATAAGGTCTTTTGCAAAGTGCTTGTGCTTGAAGTATGTGTTAGGGATGACTCTCAGCAACTCCGGCACCAAACTTCAGTTTATTATGTAGAAAAGTCACTGAGTTATAGCCATTTATGTGTTCGTTAAGGTCAGATAGTTGTGGTGGTCATTTAGAATTTGGTTAGAGATTATTTAAGCTGATGATTTGTAGATGTAAAGCTAATAATTGTTTTCTGGCAGTTTCATTAAAGTTTATTGACTCTAAATGTGGATCAGTTGTAGAGGTCCACCCAGTGATTACTACAAGCTTTAGTCAAATGTGTTCACAGACATATTTTAATCAACAACCAAACACGTCTTTCATCTTTCAGCAGCGGGTAACAACGAGGCGTGTCAGGACTCTCACCGTGGGGAGTCTGGCGTAAAGCTGGGACGAGCAGCAGCGTGTCAGGAACGCTGTGAGAAGGCAGCAGCAGCGTGAGTTGCTTCAGGATGAGCCTCTTCAGGGCGGCCCAGCCCGGCTCCTCAGGGGGACGATGGTCCTGCTGTGTGGAGGAGACGGTGGAGGCTGCCATCTGGTGTCCAGCAGTGGGGGCCACCACAAAGGCCAGGAGTCGAGAACTGTCACAAACACCCACGGCGCAGGCCTCCACCTCTGGCAGGCTCGAGATCAGCTGCAGGAGGAAGAAACAACCTTTGACCCAGATGTCTGCCTCCTGATTCACAGAACAATACAGACACGTTGTCTTTGTAGAAATGAAGCTACCCCCGAGCCCCAAAGAGCTTTAAATCATTTCACTCAAACTACTCACTCTCTGAAGGTCGTCCAAGTTCACTTGTTTCCCGTTACGCTTAATCATTCTGTCTCTGCGTCCCAGGAAGTACAGCTGATCGTCCTTAATGTTCACCCAGTCTCCAGTTGCCCTCATCGTCCCAGGGACAGGCATGTCCTCCCCGTCCAGGAGACACACCCTGTCCTGTCCACCTGCACACAGGACGGTTTCATTCAAACAGCTTTGATTACGGCATGCGTTCGCTGTGGCATGGTTTCGATAAGCTTCTGCAGTGACACAAGATCTATTTCCATCCAGTGTTGCGTTAAATTTTCACCCAGATCTTGCATTGATGATGGCAGATTCTGACTCGCAAAGACTTCTCCAACACATCCCAAAGATTCTCAGTGGGGTTAAGGTCTGGACTCTGTGGTGGCCAATCCATGTGTGAAAATGATGTCTCATGCTCCCAGAACCACTCTTTCACAATTAGAGCCCGATGAATCCTGGTATTGTCATCTTGGAATAATATGTCCGTGCCATCAGGGAAGAAAAAATCCATTGGTGGAATAACCTGGTCATTCAGTATGTTCAGGTAGTCAGCTGACCTCACTCTTTGAGTACAAACTGTTGCTGAACCTAGACCTGACCAACTGCAGCAACCCCAGATCCAGAGTCCAATCTTTATGCTCCCTAGCAAATTGAAGCCTTTTTTTTGGGTTAGCCTCGGTGATTAGTGGTTTTCTTAAGGCTACACTAGGCCTGTCACGATAACTAATTTTGCTGGGCGATTAATTGTCTCAGAAATTATTGCAATAAACGAGAATATTGTTTGAAATTTGAAAAGAATTAGTAATTATTATTATTTAAGAATAAATGTTGGTTAATTTTTGTGTGTAGTACCTTTTTTGTCCATTGAATGGCAGTATAAGACTGTTTGAACTGAAGGATGGATAGTGAGGGAGCGAGCAGCGTGTCTCTAAGAAAAATGGGAGGGAGGCCCCCTGACGTGACATGGGCTGTCTGCCTTTGGTTCTCAAAATAGCGGACGTTCGGTGTGGTTTGAGCTCTTTAGCATAGCATTTGTCACACAAAGCTTCTAATAAAAAAATCAGTAAACAAGTTCTCAGCTTCTTTTTTCAGAGAAAAACAACTTTTTAGACGAAGGCACGGGTTTCAACTGTGAATTTTGGAGCTTTGACAAGACGGAGGTTTTTTCCCGAGGTCGGCCTGTTAGCTTAGCTTCTCAGCTCAGCTGCTTTGAATGATCCAAACACAGTTTTGGACGATTAAAATGGACTTTAAAGAGAAAGGGAGGCGTCAGTGAAGAGCACCGGAGTTGAGCCTGTTGTCATCCAGGGTCTTCAGTAGAAAGAGAGACACGAAGAAACGATAAAGTCCGTAAATAAAAATGAGGTTGATCATTTTCATTTATCATGCAATTAATTGATTTATTGTTTATTGATCATTGATTTATTATTTATTGTTAATTGATTTATTGTTTTTTTATTTTAGGGGAGTGGTGGCACAGAGGTTAGAGAAGATGGGCCTGTGATCAGAAAGTCGCAGGTTCAACTCCTGGTACCGTCAACATCAAAATGTGGGTGGAAAAGGTGAAACACCCACACCTGCCTCCACCCTCATTGGCCCCACTCTGGCCCCCTGAGCAAGACCCTGAACCCCCACCATCTGCTCCCTAAACAGGTCTCTCTTGAAAATGAGTTTCCGTGACTCAATGAGACTACCTGGATAAATAAAGGGGGAATTGCGACAGGCCTAGACTTCACAGCTGTTCAGTCCCAATCCCTTGAGTTCCTTCACGTTGTGCATGTGGAAATGTTCTTACTGTCTCTATTAAACACAGCCCTGAGTGCTACTGCTGTTTTTCTTCCATTTGATTTCACCAAACGTTTAAGTTATCACCGATCACGATCATTCAGGATTTCCTTCCAGCCACATTTCTTCCTCTAAGATGATGGGTCCCCACTATCCTTCCAGTTTTTAATAATGAGTTGTAATAACCCAGTGTTAGTAGTTTCTACAATCTCCTTAGATGTTTTCTCTGCTTGATGCAGCCAATGATGTGACCCTTCTCAAACAGACGGACATCTTTTCCACGACCACGCCATGAGTCTTTGACACGGTTGTTTAAGAAATAAGAGGCAACTCATTGCACCAGTTGGGGTTAAATAACTTGTTGCAGCTGAAAGGTGATCGTCCATGCAGTAATTATCCAACAGGAGGCTCGTACCTGTTTGTTTAGTTAAATCCAGGTGGACACTTTTCTTTTTGGCCAGGCTGTGCATGTTCTGTCTGGAACAGGTTCCTCTTGTAAATGAGTCCCTGTGGCTCAATGAGACTAGCTTGCATGAATAAAGGTTGAATGAATGATTTAATCTGTCATCAAGTTTAAGGTCCCTGTCCAGTCTCACAACAAGATTTGTTGCTGTATAAGCCAGATGTTGTGCTAGAGGACCCAGATCAGCATGGACTTTGAAAGCACCACTGGGCCTAATGAAAAATGGAAAAGACTATACAATTTAAAATGTCAAAATATTTCAAGAATCTGGAGAAATCTTTAGGTGCAAAAGGAAAAGGCTTAAGGCCAAGGTAGGATGCCTGCGCTCTTCAGGCCATCAGGCAGCACTGCATTAAAAACAGGTCTGGCTCTGTTCTGGACATGACTGTGGGGGCCCAGGAACACTCCATTTATGTGGTCTGTAACCACAGTTCAAAGACCTCCTCTCCATTAGTGTATAGTGTGGAGGAGCATGAATACCTCAGGCACGAGCAGCTTATGTATCAGGAAGGACAACATGAATGCAGACAAGTTGAAATAGGTTTTATAACAACATGTGCTCCCATCCAGCACAGAAGGCCAGAACTGTTTTCTATTTCCTAAAAGTGGTACAATTGCTTAGCGTCAACATTGATGTGATTGTGTGATGCGTTTCATTGTGGATCAAATATGGGTGTATGAGATGTTTGAGTCATTGTGCTCTGTTTTTATTTACATTGCAATGTCTCATTTTGTTCAGAACTGGGATTGTAGTTGCTCACCTATAAACACCTGACCTTCACCCTCTGTGATGATGCAACCGTGTTCATCTCTCACTTCCAACATCGTGTCCATCAGTGGACTCCCCAGAGGCACGGAGGCTGACGTTCTGCAGGAGGAGTAATGTTTTATCTGCAGCGAAGTTCAAACAATCATCAGGCAGAGATGATGAACATCTAATGCTCACTGGTTGGTGGAGCGCAGCAGGCTCTCTGAGATGTTGTAACAGCAGGCCCAGCAGGAGACCTCCGTGATACCGTAGATGTTGTAGATGCAGGTTGTGTTGTCCTTGTGTCTCCAGCTGCTCAGCAGAGCAGGAGAAGGACAGGCTTCTCCACCCAGAGCCAGCACCCTCAGCGAGGAGCCGGAGGACAACACATCCTGTTTCAGGACACGATGGCCGAAACTCATCAGCAAAGTCGGTGTGACCTGGGGAGACATAAACGATCAAAAACATTCCTTGAAGGAATTCTCGTCACCCGCTGCCTTTACTGTCACAATTTCAATAGCTGCTCACTGCGCCACCTGGTGGTGGAGGGGTTAAATGCAGAGATCCAACTTCGACATTATATGGGAACATACAATGATGACAATATATACATTATTATTATTAATAATGAACTAACATCAACACATAGACAAAAATAGAGTTGTAATCATTTTGGTCAAACTTTCTAAATGAAGTTATGTGTGATCTCACAAGTTAAGTAAGATAATCAAAGTATGTGCACTGAATAACTCTCAGCTACTACCAAACCCAACTTTAGCTCAGTATCTGTAAACTATAGCCATTTTTCTATTTTCTAAAAACAGCTGGCCTTGGTGGCCATCTTGAATTGGATTGGCTCAAAAACCTAATCAGCTGTGGATGTGTGTAATAATGATCTTTCAGCAATTTTCAACAAAATTCACTGAGTGGTTCACAATATATTTTGCTAACAGACAGATGTGTGCAAGCATTCAAACATAGACATATGGCTTTGCCTTTTGAAGGTGGGGGAGAAACATGATAGAAGTGAAACAGTGTGAGCCGCTTGCCTGGAGGACTGTAGCTCTGTGATCTTTGAACAACAACCGTGCAAGTCGAACGGGCTTTTTCTTCATTATCGCAGGGACAATCAGGAGCTGAGCCCCTGACGACAAGGCCAGGAAAATATCCACCACGGAAGGGTCAAAGGTTAGAGGGGAGGCAAGGAAAAGCACATCATCAGGGCTGATCTGAAACAAAGATCTGAGAAGAGAGAAAATCCTTTGTTTCAGAACAGAAACTCAACAAAGGTGTTTGACAGAACAACAAAAGTCCCCCCCCCCCCCCCACTGACCTCAGGTGCAGAATATTAGGAAGAATACACTCATGTGGGACCCTCACGGTCTTGGGAGGACCAGTTGTTCCAGATGTGTGGAGCACATATGCCCAGTCTTTCTGACCGCAGGTACCATCAAGTTCAGGGCCGCCTGTTGGCTGAGGTCCAGATCCCCCCTCCAAGACTGGGAGAGGCTCAGCTCGCATCAAGGTCAGTTTAAACTCAGGCAGCTCCATGCAGACCTCCACAGACATGTATCTGACGAGCGACGCCTGAAAGAACTTCATGGGAAATAAAAAAATTAAAAGGGAAATATTCATAAACTACCATCTGAAGGAAATGTTGGGTAGATTGAAACCAGTTTGGTTACATGTTTGTTATGGGGAAATTCTCTAAACATTCTCCATCATTGTGAGCGATGCATACAGCAGGACTGGGGGCTGGAAGGTGTGCAAACAAGAGGGGCCCCACAGAAAAATACTGGCTCCATAAACAGTAAAGGCAGCCCTGTTGTTGGGCATTCCTGTTAATGTTAATCTAACTGGACATTAGCTTAAGGGCACAGATTGCATGTGCAAATTTACACATAGCAGAAGTTTATTTGTGCTGATAAAATGCAGCAAATATTAAACCTGCACAAGGTCACTTTTTACTGCGCAGAGCCGGAGGCCACACCGGCTCATGACTCCGGCAGAGAGAAATCCAGGAGCCTCTGGGTCCAGCGGGACGTAAGCCGCAGCACTCTGCAGAATCCTGAAGAACACATCACAGTTTATGTTCCGTTGAGGCAAACAAACACACAAGCTCCTGCAAACTGGTGCAAATTACCCCAGAATCCAGACAGGCACGAGCAGATCATCACTGCAGTACAGACCAACAACGCCGCTGCTGAGAGCACAGTTCTTCAGTAAAACACGAGAGAGTTTCTCTGCAAGCTGGACCACATCTCTGTACAACAGAGACACACAGCCTTGTGACCCCCCCGAGCCGCTGTCGAACACCACCGCTTTCCTGTCAGGGTGCATGGAGGCTGCAGCGAACACAAGCCCCTGAAGCGTCCGAGCAGCCATGTTGATGAGACGTTCACTGGTCGCCTGATTGTACTACTTCAGTGCCGATACTGAGCAAAAACACACATTCTTTTATTAATCATAATTTAATTCAGCTCACTTCACGTTTATTTACGTTTGGATTTTACTTAGTCGCGCACTGATGACGTATTAGTTAAAGTAACAGAAGTGTTGCATTTAATGTCTTCCTGTAAGCAGAGTTTCTTAAAAACGTAACCACCCATAACGATTACGATTACAATGATGCCCAAATAAACATCTCAAACTTTCGTATTTTTAATTATCTTATATAAAAATTACATTAGGCTATTATGATATTCACAACGTTACTGAAGTTTTTCCGTCCCCCGACTTTCAAATTAAAAAAATTGGCATAGGGAGAATTGTATCTTCCGAGTTTTCTGAAAGGCATCACAAGTCCGCAGTGCCCAATCATATCACGCCAATTTTTGAACGAAAGACTTCAACTAGAAGCGCCTTTCCACACCGGTCCGTTGGATCCATAATTTTTATAATTAACCTGAAGAAAATACCACTTTTTAACCGCCAACATGGAGCAGAGTTTAAGTACACAATTCAATGAAAATAGCTTGAGATTTAAAGCTTCACTGGATCGAATTATAGAAAAGGTTCGTCGATAATAGCCACGGAATTAGCAAGAATGACTAGCCTGGCTTTAGCTTCCTCGATAGCCGGCAGAGTTAAAACAATTCACTAACATCTACTATTGTTGTTCAACAGTACTCAAAAACTAGGCATCACGCCGGGATAGAAGTGGACCTTAACAGTGTAAACAATAAAAGTAAGTAAACTAGAAAACCTACAACATGTTTTTATTTAAACTGTACGAATTAATGCACAGTTTTGTGGTGGATACACGTAAAGTGAACTGCACTGAAAAAACAAAACTGATAATTGTAATAATAGCGTCTGCTTCCTTCCTTAGATCTTCTTTCAGCTTTCCCCTCTGGTCTCCACAGCGAGTCATCCTCCTCTACCTCACTGTCCTCTGCATCCTCTGTCCTCACTCCATCTACCTTCATGTCCTCTCTAACTGCATCCAGATATCTCCTCTGTGTCTTTTTTCCTGGCAGCTGCATTTCTAACATCCTTCTACCAATATAGTCCCGACATGTCCAAACCATCTCAGTCTGGTCTCCCTAACTTTATCTCCCAGTTGTTCAACCTGTGCTGTACCTCTGATGATCTCATTCCTAATCTTATCCAGTCTTGTCACTCCTAAGGAGAACCTTAGCATCTTCATTTCTGCCACTTCTAGTTCTTTCTCCTGTGTTTTTGTCAATGCCACTGTCTCCAGACCACACAACATAGCTGGTCTCACCACTGTCTTGTAAACTTTTCCTTTAACCTTTGCTGACACCTTTTTTTGTCACTAATCACTCCTGAAACTTTTCTCCATCACTCCATCCTGCCTGGACGCTCTTTTTCACTTCTTTACCACACTCCCCATTTCTCTGGACAGTGGACCCCAAGTACTTGAAGTCCTGCACCTTTGTGACCTCTGCTCCTTGCAGCCTCACTGTTCCACTTCCTCTCTCTCATTTACACACATGTACTCTGTCTTACTACAGCTGACTTTTATTCCTCTTCTTTCAAGTGCATACCTCCACCTCTCCAAGTTCTCTTCCACCTGTTCCCTGTTCTCACCACAGATCACAATGTCATCTGCAAACATCATAGTCCATGGGGATCTTGCCTGACCTCATCTGTTAGTCGGTCCATCACCAGATCAAACAAGAAGGGGCTCAGAGCCGATCCTTGATGCACTCCCACCTCCACCTTAAAGCTATCTGCCACTCCTACAGCACATATCACCACTGTCCTGCTGTCCTCATACATGTCCTGTACCAGTCTAACATACTTTTCTGCCACTCCAGATTTCCTCATGCAACCACATCTCCTCCCTCGGCACTCTGTCAGATGCTTTTTCTAAATCCACAAAGACACAATGGAGTTCTTTCTGACCCTCTCTGTACTTCTCCATCAGCATCCTCAAAGCAAAGATGCATCTGTGGTGCTCTTTCTTGGCATGAAACCATACTGCTGCTCACAGATAGTCACCTCTCGTCTAAGTCTTGCTTCCACAACTTTCTCCCAGATCTTCATCGTGTGACTCATCAACTTAATTCCCCTGTAGTTTCTACAACTCTGTACATTGTTCTTAAAAATGGGCACCAGCACACTTCTTCTCCATTCCTGAGGCATTTTCTCACCCTCATATATGCCATTGAATATTTGAGTCAAAAACCTCACTGCCATCTCTCCAAGACATTTCCAACCCTCCACTGGTATGTCATCAGGTCCTACTGTCTTTCCCTTCTTCATTCTTTTCAGAGCTTTCTGGACTTCACCCTCACTAATCTTTCCCACTTCCTGGTCCACAGTTTATATGATCTCTACTCTTCTTTCTCGTTCATTCTCTTCATTCATTAGCTCCTCAAAGTACTCCTTCCATCTTCCCGTCACACTCTCCTCACTTGTTAGAACATTACCATTCCTATGTTTAATAAGCTTAACCTGCTGCACATCCTTTCCAGCCTGATCCCTCTGTCTTGCCAATCGATACAAGTCCTTCTCGTCCTCTTTAGTGTCCAGTCTCCCATACAACTCATCATACACCCTCTGCTTTGTCTTAGCTACCTCCCTCTTTGCTCTACGTTCCATCTCCTTATATTCCTGTCTCCTCTCATCAGTCCTCTCACTGTCATTTCTTCTTGGCTAATCTCTTTCTTTGAACATCATCCTGCACTTCACTATTCCATCACCAGGTTTCCAGATCATCCATTCTCTGTCCAGATGACACACCAAGTACCTTCCTACCTGTCTCTCTAATTACTGTTGCTGTAGTAGTCCAGTCATCTGGAAGCTCTTTCTTACTACCCAGAGCCTTTAACAGCTCCTCTCTGAACTTCTCACAACATTCTTCCTTCTTCATCTTCCACCATTTGGTCTTCTCTGATTTTACTATTTTTCTCTTCTTCACAACAACAGTCATTCTACACACAACCATCCGATGCTGTCTGGCCACAATCTCCCCTGCCACAACCTTACAGTCTCCAATCTCCCTCAGGTTTCCTCTTCTACACAGAATGTAGTCGACCTGCGTACTCCTTCCTCCACTCTTATAGGTCACTCTATGTTCCTCCCTCTTTTGGAAATAGGTATTGACTACAGCCATTTCCATTCTCTTGGTAAAATCCACCACGCTCTGTCCTTCCTGGTTTTTTTCCTTGACACCAAACCTACCCATCATTTCCTCATCCTCTGTTTCCTTCACCAACACATCCACTCAGGTCTGCTCCGATCACCACTTTTTCCTCCCTGGAAATACTCTCTATCACTTCATCCAGAGCTTTCCAAAATGTGTCTTTCTCCTCATCACATCCAACCTGTGGAGCATAACCACTGACAATGTTGAGCATCAGACCTTCTACTTCTACCTTCAGGCACATCATCCTATCTGACACTCTTTTCACCTCTACTACATTATTTACCAACTCCTCCTTCAGGACCACCCCTACTCCATTTCTCTTTCTATTCACACCATGGTAAAACAGTTTGAACCCTGCTCAAATGCTGTGAGCCTTGCTGCCCTTCCACTTGGTATCTTGGACACATAAAACATCTACCTTCCTTCTCTGCATCATTTCAGACAGCTCTCTACCTTTGCCTGTCATTGTCCCCACATTTTGAGTTGCAACCCTCAGTCCTACATTTTTCACGTTCCTGTGTGTGTGTGTGAGTATATATATATATATATATATATATATATATATATATATATATATATACTCACAACCAGTTGGTAGCACACTTGTAACTAAAAATGTTCATGTTAGTTTTGAATACTGTACTTGTTTTGTCGCCATCTAGCGGTAATACACTGTTATTACCTGCCAACCTTCACCAGAAACAACCCATACTCGTTTGAGTACTGTACTGCGTTTTATTTATTATAGTTTTATTTATTAAAAAGTTGTTTGTGGACTCGTGCAGTGTGTCAGTCACATGATGGCCAGCCCTGCACATAAGTTGTTTCTGTTACTCTGTTAGTTTAATTAAACACGTTTTATATTTAACAAAAACCTGAGCCCAGACCATCATATCCAAATTTTGTTTTGTTTTTTGTACAAAATTTTCGTTTATTTCGTTTTCCTTTGTCTAACTGAGTAACTTGTTTTAACTTTTGGTGAAGCACTTGGACAATACATGGAGCGCTCCAGAAAAATGCTGAACATGATCAAGCCAAAGGTTTGGATTAATATATACTACATAAATTAAATAAAGTGATTTCAGTACAATAACTTGCATGCATTTAATAATTTGCAACTTATATTTTTAGAGCCCAACAGATCTGGACGAGGAGTCGTTGAGCAGTAAGGGATTTTAACCTACAATACACAAGATGTATTTATGCAGCGTTATTTTGTCCAAGTTGATTTCTTCATCATTTCTCTACAGGACAGAATGTTACAGGAAACTCTCAGGTAACTATAGTCATATTCATCTCACACTTTTGATTTGAAATAAAAGTTATTGCTCGCCAAAAGGGTGATAGCATTTTTACCAGTCTTTCTGTGTGCATGTGTTAATTTGACACATATTAGCAACATTTCATGAACCACTGGTGGATTTTAGTAAAACTCAGAAAGTGGTTGTACATCATCAACCAGTAACTTTTGGAATCAACCCAATACAAGATGGCTGCTGCAGCTAATCCACCTAATCCCACACAAATGGATCTAAGTCTGTAGTGAGCTAAAGTTTGGTGTGGTAGTAGCTGGGAATAATCCTCAACACATGCTTCGAGTGCACAGATCTTGCAATATGGCATGAGATCACACATAACGTTGTATAGAAGTTTTTCCACAATGGATCCATGTCCATCCCTTCTCATCATAAGATAACCTTAACTTCAACATTTGGCATAAAAAGATGGCAGATGACATATTTTCCTTTAAGGGATGCTGTGTTTTTAATTTTAATGTTTTTCATTCATAGCTGGACTTCACATTTATAAGTGGTGGTGCTGACAGGACTTGTAATTGCACCAGTAACTCTGCCTTGGAGAACAACGGTAAGAACAAACAGAGTTGGTACTTTGTCACAGATGTGAGAGGAAATAAAAATGGGCTGTTCTAATTTGAGTAACTTTTTTCCTACACCCTACAGAGGTGACGCAGAGCTCCTTTGATGAGAGTTCTAGGAACTTGTCAGAGGGAGAGCATCTGCCAGAGGACCAAGATGAAGAACTGCAGATGTCTCTGAGCAGCAATGGCAGCTCCTGGGTGGAACTCTACCCAAGCATGGTCAGTCGAATTGGACGAGCCTGTCACCTGCAGCATGTCTCTAAGGCTGCCAGCTCGGTGCTGAGAAGGTATCAAAGGTGGCGAAAGCAGTCTAAAAGAGGCAGCCTGAGCAGCACCTTAAATGTTACACTGAGAAACACCAAAAGAAATCCTACAATGATGCCTTCCAGCAAGGTGAGGCTGGAGGAGAGCTCCTACAGTCCTGTAAGGCTTGAAACAACCCCTCGTGTCCTGCAGCAGCCATCCCCTGGCAAGGACGCCTCGACCAGTGCACGTCCAGTTCGTGTAATAGACTTCTCTGAGACCACTCAAGCAAGAGATGTCCCACTGAACGAGACCTTTATTGTGTCTGAGGTGTTCCCTCCTAGACCACTCCAGCTGGGGGAACACATCCTCAGAAACACCACTGGTCCTTCACAAACTTCTTATGGCACTTCTAGATCGTCCAAGGACACGCTCCTTCATCTGACAAGGCCTTCACGCTCAGAGTCCTCCACATACGCAAGAGAAGCTCAAGCTGTAACCAAGAGACCCGGCGTCTACAGCTCCTCGGTCAGGCAGAGTCCTTTCAAGACAAAAACGATGGCCGCCTTCAGTAGATCACCTCGAGCCTTTTCAAGAGTCCTCCAAGAAAATCCTATGGACCACTGTTCCAGAGAGTCACTGAGACTTGGATCACCGCCTGCGTCTCTGCCCTCCTCTCCAAAAGGGCCTGCAGTGCAGCCCACGATGCTTTACCCTCCATCGTCCCAGCCACCCCCAGCCCACGGAGCAGACGGACGCCGCAGGTTCAGACGGCATCTGTCCTTCGACTCCTCCCCCTCACGCTCTGCCTCCTACTCGCCAAAGAAAGTAGACGAAGAATTTGTGAAACTTTACCACAAGCTCGTGTGCCAGAACAAGTCCGTTTTTTTCAACAGCCTCCCCTGCCGTTTCTGTACCAGAAGCTCTGAGGTCGGCAGAGGCCATTCTTCATCTCTTGCAGCGCTCGCCCTGTCGCCCCACCGCTCCGTCCTGTGGAAACGTCACAGGGAGGTGGAATCCAGCAGCTGGCCAAAGTCCAAACGGCACAAGACGGATATGCTCATGCACTGTTTGTCTCCATACAAACTGCAGCGGCCTCGCAGCGCCTTCACCCACAGCCCCCGTAAACACAGCCCCCAGCCACCTGCAGCACCCCAGGAAGCCTGCATGAGAGGGCACCGACACGGATCTGCAGCAGACCTTTGTGTTCTAGGTAAGCTCTGCATCTTTCACATCCACTCCCCTCAAAAATACTGGAACACAAGTTCCTTTCCTTCTGCTGTCGACTCAAAACCATTTGGTTTGGATATCAAAGAGTGAAACACGAGCAGCACTTCAGCTTTTATTTCCAAGTGTTTACATCTGGATTAGATACACAGCTTATAGAACAGCCTTATTTATAAATGAACATGATGTTTAGGCGAGCCCGTGTTGAACAGGCACCTGGATTAAAGAGAATAAACCGTACAGCCTGTGACCCCATGTTCTCACCAAACTTTGCCTTCTTCTTTTGTGATGCTCTTGTTTTAGTGGGTCAGGCCCTCCACGCTCCTCTTTGCAGCAGGTTCATGTCCGCCAGGCTGGAACATGGGGAGTGGTGGTGCAGAGGTTGGAGGAGGTGGGCCTGTGATCAGGTCGTCGGTTCAAATCCCCCGATCGTTACATCAACATGTAGGTGGGAAAGGTGAAGCCTAAACGCCCCCGCTGCTCCCCCAGGCTGCCCTAGATGGCAGCCCTCTGCTCCACAAGTGTGCACACGTGTGCAATGGGAAAAATGCAGAGAATTAATTTCCCAATTGGAGATTAGGTTTAATAAAATAAAGTGTTGAGTGTGACTGCATGTTTAAATTGGCAAACAGAACGTTTGTGTAGACTGCAGATTGAGTTGAGTCTTTCCACTGTTGGCCTCATCAGTCCATAAACTTCTCTGAACTTTTGAAAAGCTGGTCTTGGTTTTTAATCCCAGTCCAGTCCAGTCCGCCCTCTGGCCCGTCGCTGACATCACCAGCTGCAGCTCGTTTTTCTTCACCAAGTCATCTCTTCAAGACAAATACTGAAAAATGTCTTTCATTACAAATCATACCAATACCTGCTGCAGATGCAAACATCTGTAAATAAAAGAACTGTTGCTCTCCAGTCTCGTTGCTTTGGTGTCGACCCAAACTGTTTTCAGAGAACAGAAAAGAAGCGTGGCCGCACCAAGTGACCGTTTCTAAATTACGTTAGGATTAATCACACTTTAATGCTTTTAACAGGTGAGGATACAGTGGTCGGTGGCTACTCCCCTCGCTGACGAAGATGGAGTTGAAAGCTGGTCCCCCCCCCTGTTCTTCTTGCCCAGTTTTTCTTAACAGAAACCAGTAAGAGACTGTTCCAGTGTTCATCCTACAATCCTGCAGCATTTTCAAACTGCATGATGGTTTAAAAAGTATACATTGTACATGTGAACTTTTATTAGATACTATTTTTAATCTGGTTGTGTCTGCATTTGTTTCATAAAAAAACCAACACTTAAAGACAGAACACGTTCTCAATGCATTCTGTTTGTTACAATATAGTGTACACTTAATTTTTAAACGTCAAACAGATATTAAAAATACAGCATGTTTGTTTATTGTTCAATAAAATAAAGTTCTTACTCTTTGGTCACTTGTCTCGTGTGCTTTCTGACACCTAACTCTAATTTCTGACTACTTGAGTGTAAATTGCATGAAGTGAAGCTGGTTTCAGTTGAACATAAAGAGGTACAAAGACGTCACGATGTGTCCAGAGAAGTGCTCCTGTAATCGCAGCATGCAGCGAGAGCAGGTTCAAATGTTCCAGAGCTGCAAACCTCGGCCGTCTCCACGTGCAGTTTGGAGCTAAATGACGGCTGCAGGAACAGTTCGCCTGCAGCTGTGCAACAGATGTGGACGGTAGGACTGACACTCGAGGCTGCGGCTTGTCCTGCTGAGGAAGCTTGCACTCCCATCGTGACAGTTCTGTTGTCGCTCCAGCTGCTCGTGGTGGTAGAGTTACCACTCCAGCTCCACGGGGTATTTCCCCGTCAGGCAGGCGGTGCAGTGACCCACAGTCTGGCCAGAGATGCCACTGGATCTGATCTTGCTCTCTTGGAAGGAGGCAACTCCCTCCTGAACAGCCGAGATGAGGCCCTCCACAGTTAGATATGCAACACTGTCCGCTCCTGTGCAGCATGGTTTGAATAAACTACATTTAAATTCTGCAATGAACACCAGGCCGAAGTGACAATGCAACATGTTGTACAGAAAGACTTACCAATATAACCAGCAATGTCCTTGAACTCTGGCTTGTTGGCAATGAGCTCCTCTTTGGTTGGGATGTTGATGCCCATGTAGCAGGGGAACTTGATGGGAGGAGACGCCACTCTGATATGGACCTGCTCAACACAGCAGGTCAATATGAGCTGTGAGTGTCAGGTCATGGAAGTGGTACAAAAAATTAAAGTTCATTTACACATTGAATAATCTGGTCAGAAATGTTCAATGTTATGGTCCAACAAAGCTCAGTCGGGTCCTCTGGACGGTTTCTTCTTTTTGAAACATTTCACGTTTCATTCAAAAGACGTCTTCAGTCAGAGGAGCCACAACAATCAGTCTAATAAGTAACACACTATACGTTTGTGGCTCCTCGGACTGAAGAAGCGCTTTGGATGAAAGACGAAACATTTCAGCTAAAAGAAACTGTCCAGAGGACCTGACTCTTGGACTTTTTACCTGGATTATTGATGAACTCTGGTAAATAGCATGGGGTCTTTTACCAACAAGAGACAATTCTGATTGCATCCAAACACTTTCTACTGGAGAACCTGAGTAAAAGGCAGTCTGTATCAAAGCACAGTTGAAAAAAGCTCAGTGCAACCAACCTCTGTTGCACCAGCTTCTCGCAGCAGTTTGATGATGGGGGAGATCGTGTTGCCCCTGACGATGGAGTCATCAATCAGCACCACTCGTTTCCCCGCAAAGTTGTCTGTCAGAACCCCAAATTTCTTGGCCACTCCAAGCTGCCTCAAGCGCGTGTTTGGCTGAATAAATGTTCTGCCAACATAGCGGTTCTTACACAGAACCTCCATGTAGGGAAGACCTGACTGGAAGGAAAGAAGGAGGGTGTAAGGGAAGAGGTCCACCAGGAGGCAAACAGCCAGAGGGTTTGAAGACTGACCTGCTGAGCGTAGCCCAGAGCAGCAGGGGTTGCAGACTCGGGCACAGTACTGACCACGTCAGCCTCTGTTGGAGCTTCAATGGCTAACTGCTGACCGCAGCGCTGCCTCACAGTATACACCATCTGTCCTGCAGGGCATTACATTTGAGACGGCACGCGAGCTGCACAGTGAACAACTTGTTTTCAGTAAGTACATAAATACCTTCAAAAATTGAGTCTGGTCTGGCAAAATAAACATATTCAAAAATGCAGAAGGCAGGCAGGTCTCCTCCAGGGCGGGGCACAATGCTCAAAGACCGGACTCCATGCTTGGATATCTGCACAATCTCTCCTGGTAAGACCTCTCTGTAATACCTGAGTGAAGGTATGAAAATGTAGTGAACTCAGAAATGCAGGTTCAGTTATAATTCAGAACATGCATGATGAGGGACGTGATGCAACTCAAGTACTTGGCACCGATGGACTGGAAGCTGCAGGACTCTGACGATACAACCCACCCTTCAGTGTCCTCCTCTTCTGCACCTAACAAGAAAGAGTCGAGCTAATCATCCACCAGTAGCTGTTTGACCTTTGACAAAATCAAAGGCCAGCCCGTTCTGTTGAACTGCTGCGAGGCCCCTGTATCAGAAAATCAGTTTGGGGTCTCTCGAGGGCAAACATGCTTATTTACAGTTTAGAGAGCGACCCCCAGAACTGATCAATAAAAGGCTCCATGAAAAGTTGCTCCATACTTCTAGCTGCATTAGAGAAAGGGCCAACTTTGAGTTCCACAACATTCACACAGGTAGACGTGGTGTAATCTTGCTGACAGACTAAGATCACAGTTTAAAGCCTCTGCTGTGTACAAGTACCTGTACTGTAGAGTTTAGAGATGGGAACAAGTCTTCCAATGCAGAGGGGACGATTTCCATAAGGGTCACGCACCGCATAGATGACGTCTTTGAACATGATCAGCAGCGAGTATGACGTGGGGGTTTCAGTCATCAGGTTTTTAATTCTGACATTTAAAGAGGAGCAGACATATAAAAGGTTATGAAGAAAAATAAAAATGATGGATTCATGCGACACTGGGTGTTTCCACTCACCTTGCAACCCAGTCAGGTGTGTCCAGCTCCTCCATGGGCGGAGTCAAAGCCAGCAGCTGAGTGATGAGCTCACTGTCTGAGCCGGTGGAGAGGCCCACACCATGACGCATCACCTGCACAGCATGGTTACAACTCATCCAGTGTCCATACAGAACTATGCTGGTGAAGACTCAGTCATCCAGGACACGCTACATCCAAAACAGATTAAAGACAAAACAACTGGACTTTTTGTACCTGAACACGTTTCTCTTCTCAACAGGAGCTTTCTCAGTTCAAAGAACAGGGAGTGTGGAATTCAAGTCATAAAGCTGGCGTGTTCCGTCTGCTAGATTCACATGCAGATTGCCCTCTCACTCCTCACAACAGAGGTTAGTCAGGGTCTTTGTTAGTCTGACTCACAGATGATCACATCTTGATTGGAGTGAAACTGATTCCGTATCAGTCCTAAAGCTGCATTATGTTTTTGAAAGATGAAATCTGAGACCTCCTCCTCCTCTGTTTAAAGATGGTTTCTCTCTTTTTACATCTGTCTTCTTGGTCCAAAAAGTGACCGTCTTGGTCCTTCAAAGAGTGTCCCTAATCCTTGAGGTGGCTCTCCTGTGTGGAGCCAGCTCCACAGGACAAGTCTCAGCAGTTCACCTACACCTCAAGCAAGGCTGATGAAGTCTTTCGGATGAAAGATCAAACGTTTCTCTCAAAAACAAACTGTCCAGATCACCTGATTTAACCTTTTCATTTAACGCCACACTCCCAGTCCTTTGAACTGAGAAAGCTCCAGTTCAGTTACAAAATAAAGTCCAGTTGTCCGTCCGTCCATCATCTTTACTTGCTTCTTCCTTTTCGGGTCGCAGGGGTCACTGGTGCCCATTTCCAGCCATCACTGTGTGAGAGGTGGGGGACACCCTGGACAGGTCTCCAGTCCATCACAGGGACAAATAGAAACAAACAACCATTCTCTCTCACCTAGAGACCATTTAGAGTTACCAATCAGCCTAACATGCATGTTTTTGGTCTGTGGGAGGAAACTGGAGTACCAGATAAAACCCACGCAGCACGGAGAGAACATGCAAACTCCACCCAGAAAGGTCCTGGACCGGGATTTGAACCAGGGACCTGCTCGCTGAGAGGCAGCAGCTCTACCAACTGAGCCACCGTGCTGCCAAAGTTTTTGTCTAAACTTTTTTAGATTTATACAGAAGTGTTACTTCATTTAAACAACTGTGCAGATGTTTTCTTTGCATATGACCAATTACACTCATGAGAAGTATATACAGATACAAACAAACCAACTTCTGATAAAAATCTGTCTTCAGCTCACTGAGCTGCCAAGAAGAGTCATTCATTTTCCAGCAGCTGACCATCTATAGCTCCACTAATGAGATACAACACAGCACATGACAGTGTAGTGTGCTTGCTGCTGAAGGTCATTCAGAAGGTCATACGGACAAAAGACAAATCGCTGGTTGATCTCTGCGTTCTCCATTTTCAGTCTGAAATGTCTCATTATACACAATCAAAGGCAGCGCAGACCCGAGAGCTGCTGTTTGCTCTCCTGCCCTCTGGGAGTCAGAACGGGAGCTTGTCATGTAGAACTCACGTAAAAACAGCAACGATCGCTTTATATTAACCCATATTAACAAGAAGTTATTTATATTAGGTGTATTGGTTTTGCTTTCATATTGTGAACTGCTCAAATATTTTAAAGTGCTCTAGTTTCATTGAAGCAATGAAAACAATGGGTATTAACTAATTCAGTCATTCACTTAATCAACTGCAACACGTTCATGGTGCACAAGGGAATCCTGCCTAACCTGTCTGGGCCTCACCTTCTTCCGAAGAGCGCGGGAGTTAACCAACTCCCCGTTGTGTGCCACAGCGATCTTGCCGTGCAGTGTATCCACCACAAAGGGCTGGCAGTTCTGCAGCTCCGAGATCCCAGTGGTTGAATAGCGTGTGTGACAAATACCAAGGTTCCCATAACGCAGCTTCAGAAGAGCCTCGGGTGGGAAAGCAGAGCTCACTAATCCCATGCCCTGTAAAATGCCAGGAGGGATTATGGATTTTAATTAGTTTTGCACAAAATAAAAAACGATGGTTTTGTATAACACTATGCAACTCTGTGCACCTTTAACAATAAAAACACATCTGTTGTAATTAAATCATAGTGCTTTGTTTTAACGGTGTGACTCAAACACAAAGGTCATAAATTGTTACCTTGTGGCTTGTGTATGTGGGTGAGGTGGCTCCATTACTTGTGACAATGCCAGCACTTTCTTGACCCCTGACAAAACAACCAAAGTATGAATTAAAATGCATCAGCGGGGAGTGCGAGGCCGATCATCAATCGGTCTTCAGCTCTGTAGTGTAATGTAGATCAAACCTGTCTGACTTGATCAATAAAAAGGAGCTGGAATGAGGAACAAGACAAAATAACTGGTGCTTCTCTGATGCACAGTTGCCTTATATGGAGAGACGTCTTGCTGCAGATTTGGTACATTTACCAAGCTGCTTCTCAGATTACAGGAGATCCTCCCCCTCTGCACACAGCTTAAGCCAGTGGTGAGGCTGCTTTTCAGCACGGAGGCGTTGCTTTCAGGCTTAACCGCCTGGTTGCCTAGGGAACTGGGCAGCAGAGGCTGGGGGGCTGGGGGAAAGAAAACGTTTCCAGGTCAGCTCAAACATGGAGAGAGGAGCAGAGAGACAAAGAGAAGACAGAGAGGTGGTGGAGGAAAAAGGCTCGGTGGAAAGGCAGTGGGGGGAGACAGAAGTGCTGGCTCTGGTATCAGTTTGGGAGGAGATAGGAGCTCAGCATGTAGCAGAGAGCAGAGCCACGTTTGAGCTGATTTCAGAGCGTCTGAGGAGGCTCAGTTTTGCACGCAGCTGGAGGGAGTGTCAGGCCAAGAGCAGGAGTCTGGGACTTCAGAGCAGGATGTCTGACGCAGCAGCAGGCACGTCAACTAACTGTGGCCTGGATGGAAGGCTGGTGGAGGGCTGGGACAAAGATGTGGGTAATCAAAGAGGCATCTACCCATCCTCTGTCTCAATGCATGAAGGTAAATGTAGGTTTGAGACACACAGCAGACAAAAACATGCAACTATCCTTATACTGACAAAACATAAGCATGTCAACTAGCTTCTGCTTGTTTGCTCTAAAATGCTGATGGAGATATTTTGAAAAAAGATGAAGGTAGGCCTGTCACGATAACATTCTGCTGGGCGGTTAATTGTCTCAGAAATTACTGCGATAAATGATAATATTGTTTAAAATTTGACAATAATTAGTAATTATTGTCAAATTTAAGAAGAAATGTTGGCTAATTTTTGTGGGCAGTACCGTTTGTCGACCACCGGATGGCAGTATAAGACCGTCTGAACTGAAGGATGGACAGTGAGGGAGCGAGCAGCGTGTCTCTTTAAGAAAATGGGAGGGAGGCCCCTTGACGTGACACGGGCTGTCTCTCCTTCCTGTTTTTTGGTTCTCAAAATGGACGCTCGGTGTAGTTTGAGCTCTTTAGCATAGCATTTGTCACACAAAGTAAAAAACAGTAAACAAGTTCTCAGCTTCTTTTTTCAGAGAAAAACAACTTTTTAGGCGAAGGCATGGGTTTCAACCATGAATTTTGGAGCTTCGACAAGACGGAGGATTTTTCCCCGAGGTCAGCCTGTTAGCTTAGCTCGTAGCTTCTCAGTTTAGCTGCTTTTAATGATCCAAAAACACAATTTTGGGCGGTTAAAATGGATTTTAAAGAGAAAGGAAGGGTCAGTGAAGAGCACCGGAGTTGATCCTTCTGTCATCCAGTGTCTTCAGTAGAAAGAAAGAAACACGAAGAAACAATAAAGTCGAATCGTGCTATCAATTGATTTATTGTTTATCACAACAGGCCTAGATAAAGGTGTGAACGTCTCTGCAGGAAACAAGAGCCGAATCAATCCAACACTTCCGTACACGGCAAATGTGGCTGAAGAAGGGGGACGCCACTGGACAGACGATGAGGTGCGGGCTCTGCTGTGTGTCTGGGCTGACCAGAACATTCGAGAACGCCTGAAAACCACCTTACGCAATAAGCGCATTTTCCAGGAGATGGCCCGTCAGATGCAGAGAAAGTTTGGCGTGGTACGCAAATGGAAACAGTGTCGAACCAAATATAAGAATTTGAAATACGACTACAAGACCGCTAAAAGCGCACACATGGCCAGAGGCGGCAGCAGCGCCGGGAGCCCTGGAAAGTACATGAAGTTTTTTGAGGAGGTGGAAGCAATCCTGCTGAACCAGGGACTGGAAAATGGGAGTGTGGAAATGCAGAGAAGACTGTACAATGGTGAAATGGCAGCTGAAAGGCTCCAGACACCACCAGGCAATACCAGACCGATGACAGCCGCAGACAGCGAGGTTGTCATAGAAATTGATGACGGTACGTATTCATGATGCAACGCACACACAGCAGCAGTTTTACAATCAAACATAATACACTTTTCATTTCTAGATGAAAACAGTGATGAATATGACATTGATGGAGAAATGGAGACCCAATGGAGAGGCACAGGTAGGATAATATGAGCCTGCCAGATCACCTGTACAATTAGCAGTCAGAATAATGTTTGTTTGTTGTTCTCACCAGAGATCCACTCAACACACGCGGATTCATCGGGGCCTGGACAGTTCCATGTGGTCACAGTATCAGACATAGGCCGAAACTGGAGTGACCAAGAAGTGCAAGCTCTAATCCAGGTCTGGTCTGACGAGCACATATGCAGGCAGCTGGAAAGCTCAACTAGAAAAAGGGACATCTTTGTCCAGATTGCCACCAGGTTGATGCAACAAGGCATAGAGCGTGACTGGAAGCAGTGTCACACCAAATACAAAAACCTCAAGTACCTTTACCGGTCCCTGCAGAGGGGTAAGGCAGACGAAGCCGAGCGAAAACGCATCATGAAGTTCTACGATGAAGTGGACGCGATCATGACTCACACTGTTAACGGATCGCCGTGTGACACAACAGCTGCTGACTCTGCACATTCAAGCACAGTTAGAGTTTTACAGGGAAGTGAGGACACCCAGCAGGATGTGTACCTGATCAACACGGATGAAAGGACCTGCAGTTCTGCTTCCGTCTCATCTGTAGCCACCGACGGAGCATCAGACCCTGATGATCCGAGGATGCAAACGGTCCAGGAGCATCACGTGGATCAACACCACAGACTAATGAGTGAGCTGATCATTTATCTACAGATCGAGTCATTTCTTCACTTTTACAACAAAGGCCTATAAAAATTACAAATTTTACAAAGACAATGCAACTTAAAAGCAAGGAGGACAAACGTTTTCCTTTAAGCATTAAAGGAGCAGTAGCACAATTGAATGCACATCGCTCGCCACCTTTAGCTAGTTTTAACTAACATCATCTTATGTTGAGAAAACACGAGGCTGTTTTAGTCAAATCCCCAAACATTTGATGCGAACACGTCATATTTACATGTCCTGCTCAGAATGTTTCGTTAATCCTTAGAATCATCCAGGGATTTGTTGAATATTTAGTTAACAAACAGTGTCGACTCAACACTCTGGCACAAACTGCTCAGACCGTGTTGGACATGGGTTTTAGCTAAAAACACCAAGTTTTAGGTGAATACATGTAAAATTAACAGAGTTATGGCAATTTATTTCTGTTAAAGCTGTGCTGGTTGTGGCAGCCACCTTGAATAGGATTTGAAAAGTTAACAAGTTGTAAACGTACAGATGTGGATAACTTTGTTGGTACCAGCACATCTCACTGAAACTACGCTCCTTATGTTGTGAAGTGATCCAGTCTACGTTCTTTTAGTATGGAACAGATTAAACTAAAAATCACGTGAAAAGAAATGACTTATTTAGCAGAGAGATGTGTTCGATGGAAAACACTTTAAAGATGTTCATCCAAAGGAAGCACTCACACTCACGGCAGGTGAAGATTGATCTCCAGTGAAATGTTACTGGCAAGGACAGATGTTGTAACAGTTCACACCAATATGCATTAATGTACGCACAGGAAGCCGGTCACAATGATCTGTGAAGTGCTGCATTGTCTTCTTGCTTTATGTCCCCATCATCTTGACAACGTTTCAGTGGGAGTCACAATATGCTATAATACTATGGACAGACCTGCTAGTTCCTTAAAGAGAATATTACCGTTTGCTATACAGTAGTCATTCGTCAACTGTTTGCCTTGAATAGTATCACAGATGCCTTTGTGCATCTCGTTGAGCATTTAAAGGCAACAAACATGCCACGGGGTAGTTTGGTGTGCACGTGGAGCCCAGAAAGCAAAGGCGAGCGCTGTCTGAGGAGCTCAGAGAGAAAATTAGATATCCATTATAAAAGTAAAGACCATCTGTGAGCAGCTTCAGGCTCGGGACCACAGGTGCCAGTAATATTTAAAAGTACAAGGTTCCTGGGTCTGTAGTCAACCTCTCAGGACATCGATGCAAAAAGAAATGCAACCCCAGGTTGATCGGTATAATGGTGCAGATGGTAGGAAAAAGAACTCAAGCTACATCGTGTCCTGATACATGCTCAACCATCCGGGTAAATAAGCCCAACAGAGTTAAGTCAGGTCATCTGGACACATTCTTCTTGGTTGAAACGTTTCTTCTTTCATCTGAAAGACTTCATCAGACTGAGGCCTGCCACAAAACTCAGTCCTATAAATAGCACCTTCTCAGTTTGTTGGGACATCCAGAACGAGCTTTTCACATGTAAAAGGAGGACCATCAGTGTAACAATCAGTCGCCAGTAACTAACAACAGATCGTTAGTGCCCCGAATCACTATCTGCCCCCACCGTGGGAGCTGAAGACCCGGGAGGGCTCCATGATTGACCGGAAAGCACAAAAAAGCCAGACGAAATTTCAACACAAGGCGTGTTTAGACACCCAGAGGTTTATGGGACTTGTGAGATAAAAGTGGAGCTGTTTTGACCAGTCACATCAGTTGTGTATTTATTTATACATTTCTTTTAGTTTTTGTGAAAAAGGTACCAACAACTTTATACACATCCATACTTCCCATGATTACTTGCTGGATATTCCATCAAAATGTGTCCACTGGTTTAGAAGATATCTTGGTAACAAACGTGCACACAGACTCCAATATTTATTTCACTTCACAACAATTCTTGGGAGGCGGGCAACAAGTTCTACACCTCAACATCCACAACACCCCCGTCAGGCAGAAGGGATTATTCATTTCTTTTAGTTGAACTTTGCTTTAATCTTTACCTCTTTTTGGTCATGTGCTGTGTGCAGGCCCTTCTGAAAGGTTGGCAGAAAAATATGTCACTTTATCAGCTAACAGAGGACAGAAGAGGAAAGCTGTAGATCAAGGTTTGAACGCTTCTTTGATCAATGTGTGGGTTACATGATGTCCACAAATGACTCTTCAGTCTCAGCCCCATGATTTGCCATGGAGTCTGATAATCACACTACCAACACATGCATTGTGTTTTGCATGAATACATTTATTGAATGAAGTAATAAAATTTAGATCCAACAGTAGGCTGGAAAAACTTGTACTCAACTAACAAGCCTCATGGTTTGTATTTTCAGACACTACACTCCAGACGCCAGCAAAGCAACCGAGGCCAGGCCGTGATCCTGCTGACAAAGTGCAGGCCCAGTGCAAAGAGGAGCTGGAGCACATCCCAATAATTAAGATCAAATCTGTTTATTCAATGGCCCCTCCTCATCTACACCAACATACACAGGTATAATCTCAATAACCTGCGCTACGGACTTAAATACTGATACAGTATTTAAGATAGGTTGCATTTAAATTAGAGCCCGACTGACAGCTACTTTTAAATCTGTTTTAACACGTGAAGTCTTGAAACAGTCTTCCTAACGTGCGTTCACATTTTCTATCCTCCACGGGCGTCTGGCTGAGTGGTTAGAGCAGTCGTCCTCCAATGCGAGAGTTGGGGGTTCGAATGCACCAGCAGTCACATGCCGAAGTGTCTCAGGGCAAGACACTGAACCCCTCAGCCTCCCATCAGTGAATGAATGTGATAAAGCTCTGATTAGTCTCAGAATGATTTGTTCAATTAGCTTTGTAGAGATCTAGTATAGAGCTGTATGAATGGGTAAATGAGGCACAGGTTGTAAAGAGCTTTGAGTATCTTAATAAGACAGAAAAACATATAAGTGCAGTCCATTTACCATCTAAACGCTAGCTTGCTAACTTGAGAGGCACGTAGCTTATGACAAGCAGGTTGGAGGATTGAAGAGAATTTATTACTGCAGATTTATTTTGTAGATCAGTTAAATAAACTTGCCATGCTCTGTTCAGCAAATACACAGTACTCCCTGCTGCGGCCATGTTAAAAGTGCAAGTTAAAGTGACCGGTCATGACTGGAAAGTAGTCTGTATGTGCCCTCTGATGGATACATTGTACAGTTACGTCTTTTGTAAGTAAGATCACAACTTGTTCAAAGTGTTCATATCGATGCATGATGGGACAGTTATCACTGATACCGATATGTCCCCAAACGTCTATATTGACCTAAAATATCGGCCTTACCAATATATCGGTGGGGCTCCAACGTAAATAGTCCAAGGTGTTCACAATGACTCCTCACCCATTGCCAGAGGTGAGTCCGATCACTTTAGGGTGAGCGTTGGGACTCCACCAGGGTTGCCCGTTAACAATGATTGTGTTCATAACTTTTATGAACAGAACTTTTGCGTAGAACCAGGTGATTGGGTCCCTCTGATGTTGTTTTGTTGGTGTCATCATGTTGTCCACCTCTCACTGGTGCAGTTTGCAGGCAAGTGTGAATAGTTGGGACGAGGATCAGTGTCTCAAAAGCCACACTCAAGCCTGGAGTATACTCGGGCGCACTTCAGTCCGCAGAGGTCTGCGCATACCGGATTAAGAGTCGAAGCGGACGCCTGCAGGCATGTCCGTGAAAGCTCAATTTTTACGGCCACGTATGCGTACTTTGTGTCACACAATAAACTGCTCGGTGATGGACTGATTTGTATGCGACACCAATGTATTAAATTCCCCTTCTTCATCCCTGGTTTGGTTTAATGACCTTTGTTTTTTTTTCCAAGAGGCAAGAGATCTCTTCCTTGTCAGTTGACACCATGACTGAAATTGTGAGAAATTAAGGAATTTGTCACGAGTTAATTAAAATCAGGCCCAGTGTGGCTGTGGGCTGGTCTGATGTGTGGGTCGCAGGGCCAGCGCTCTGTTTTTTTGTTGTTGTTTTTTTAGAACTTTTTATTAATAACATAAAACCCAGAACACCGCTGCCGTTGGGGCTGCCAGCTTGCCAGCTCTCGTTTTTTTTTTTGCGACCTGTAACTCAGTCCAGTAGGCCTGTCAGCAAATGACCAATCGGCGACCTCAATTTGTCCCCAAGGTAAACGCCCCTTGCCTGCGGAGCTGGTCTGCAGCCACTCAGGGTGGACGCTTGAGTATGAAGTCTCAACTAGGGGCGCACCGATAAATCGGCCCTGATTTCCTTAATTTTGGGAAATCGGACGACACTTGCATGAGAAACCAATTTTACATATTTTTTTAGTTTTGACAACAATTCTCTGAACTTCATTTGTATTTCAGAGCAACTACCTCATGGCCAGTTAGAACAAGTTAGTATTGTTTCTCGGATATTGTTCAAGGATATGTTTTTCCAATAAAATTATGTTGGAAAATTGAAGGTGCATTGTGAACTTATAACATCTGACAGTGTCAGATCGGGGAAACTAAACAGCCACAGGCCAAAAGGATGGCCCAGCACAGAAGATCAACATCATCAGGCCAGGACTCTGCGGTCTACACTCATCTCCAGGCCAGCGGTCACTCTTTCAAGGATGAAGATGTTCACATCCTGGACAGAGAGGAACGATGGTTTGAGAGAGGAGTAAAGGAGGCCATCTTTGTGAAAAGAAACCGTCCATCGTTAAACAGGGGTGGAGCCTCCGGGTTCAACTGTCCCCCTCTTACAATGCTGTGATTGCTAGTATCACTCAGCCCTCTGTGAACAGTAAACAGCCATCAGTGTGCTAATGATCCATTGTTAGGCTGATGGTCCTTCTTGAGCATGTGATCAGCTGGTTTTGGTTGTCAGCAGCAAACTGGTTGATCCACTCTGAGAAGGTGCTATTTAAGAGACTGAGCTGAATACAGCACCTCAGACTGAGGAAGTCTCTTGGATGAGAGACGAAACGTTTCTACATTTTTTTGCTTCGTTTTGTTTTTTTGAATGTCCAGAGGACCAGATTGAACTTTTTTGGATCTGACAGTGTCGCTTACAAAATCGGTATAGGCAGCTCAGACTTTTTAGAGATCGGTGATTGGCCAGAAAACTGCAATTGGCGCACCCCTAGTTTCAACCCTCTGCAGACAGTGCACGTTAGAGTTGCATTTGTGCGCAAAAAATCTGATCCGACCCGGCCCCAGCACACAGTCATAATTTCCGAATCCCACCTGACCCGACCAATTAACAGTAATTACAGGTCCGAACCTGGAAAAAAACTGACATTTTTAATTAGTTATTAACGATCAGGGACGCGCAGCTGAATAAACGGGGCAGAAGATTCGGAGCTGAGAGGTGTTTGTACTTTCATGTGGCATAAAAAAAGCATTTAAACCCCGTTTCTGCCTGCATTCTTCTGAATTACTGAGATACACGGACAGACATGCGTCTGCTTTGGGGTCTCACCTGTTTGGGTTGTAGGCTGCACACGTCTGCTGAGCGCAGCGGCTGAATGAACGTCCATTTGAGCGATGGATCACTGCCTGGCAGTTCAGTCCCTTCTGAAGCTTAAGCTTTGTACCTCTTTCGAGGCCGGTCAGCTCGCTGAGAAATGGCTGCTTGCGGCTGGTGGATGTATGGCAAGCCGTGTTATCATATAATTGGATTGCGGCTGATCCTGACCTAATTAAAAGCCCTAGACCGGCCGTAATCCGGGTCGGGTTTTGGGGTAGACCCTGGACACGCAGAATGATGTCTGGGCCTCCCTGCTCAGACTGCTGCCCCCGCGACCTGACTCTGGGTGGGTCAGGTGGAGTAGCCGAGAATCGAAGCTCGAACAGATCATGCAAGATGTTGCATAGGATGGTTCATAACTTCAGGGTTTGACAAATGTGGCTACAACTTTTGTCACTTCTCAATAAAAGATGATCTTAGTTTAACACTCTGGAACAATGCAGCCTAACCACTTTGACAAATTTTACAAGAACAAATTTGATTTAAACACCACTTACTTATTTTGGGGCACAACAGTTTATATTAAAGTACTGGACTGGTTACAATAATTATGACAAACATTTTTAAAATTGTGTTTGATTTATCCGTTTAATCTTTAGTTGCATGTTATAGTTGTAAAAGAAATTACCTTTCACTTTAGAGGGACTTACAGCATTTTATAATCATATACAGACCCTTTCTAAAAAAATTTAAATATCATGGAAACGTTGTTTAACTTCCATAATTCCATTCAAAAAGTTAATCTTTAATACATGATAGATTCAGGGCCCACAATTTAAATGATTTCAAGTATTTATTTGTTTATTTTGACATAATTTAGTCTTCCAGCTCATGAAACCCAAGAAAACAGGATTTCAAAAAATTAGAATACTGTGGAGAAATCAGCCCAAATGTTTCAGGGCATGAATGTTTTAAACTGAGTGTGACACTGATCATCTACTAAACTCAAAGCAACTGCACAGGTTTCCCCAGGTGTCATTAAATTGCTTCAGTTTGGTTCAATTGTCTCAGTTTGGTTCAATATGGAGAAGACTGCAGACATAACAACTGGCCAGAAGACCATCATTGATACCCTCCATAGGATGGGTAAGACACAAAAGTTCATAGCTAAGGAGGCTGGCTGCTCACAGAGTGCTGTGTCCAAGCATATCAATGGAAAGTCTAGTGGAAAGGCAAAATGCGTCAGGAGAAGATGCACCAGCAACAGAGATGACCGTGGGCTTCAGCGGATTATCAAACAGAGAAGATTCCAGAATCTGGCAGAGATCCAGAAAGAGTGGAATAAGGAGGCGTCACAGCTTCAAAAACCACCACATTCAGACGCATCCGGGAGATGGACTACAACTGTTGGGTTCCTCGGTCCTCTTTTCCGATGAAAGTAAAGTGTGCCTTTCATTTGGAAATCAAGGTCCAAGGGTTTGGAGGAAGAAGGGTGAGGAACAGAACCCATACTGCTTGAGGTCCAGTGTGAAATATCCACAGTCAGTCATGATTTGGGGTGCAATGTCCGGTGCAGGTGTTGGTAAACTCTGCTTTCTTAAATCCAAGGTCACCACAACAGTCTACCAGAATGTGTTAGAGGACTTCATGACTCCTTCTGCTGAGGATCTGTATGGAGATGCAGATTTCATCTTCCAGCAGGACCTGGTCCCTGCCCCAGAAGCACCAAAACCTGGTTTGATGCCCATGCCATAGTGCTTGACTGGCCAGCCAACTCAGCGGACCTAAACCCCATTGAGAATCTATGGTGTATTCTCAAGAGGAACATGAGCGGCACCAGACCCAACAACAAAGAAGATCTGACAGCCTCAAGGAAATCTGGGCTTCCATAACTCCCAGTCAATGCCACTGGCTGAATGCCTCAATGCCACGTCACATCGAGGCAGAGATTAAGACAAAGAGATTCCCAGCCAAGTATTGAAGATTGACATATTGTTTTGAAAGCATCATATATTGATTTGTTGTGATCCTCAATTCTTTCTTTTTATTTTTTCTGCAAAAACTGAGAAGTAGTGTGGGCTGATGTCTTCACAGTATTCTAATGTTTTAAAACCCTGCTTTTGTGGGTTTAATGAGCTGGAAGCCTACAATATGTAAAAATAAACAAACAAATACTTGAAATCGTTTAAATTGTGGGCCCTGAATCTATCATGTATTAAAGATTAACTTTTTGAATGGAATTATGGAAGTTAAACAACTTTTCCTTGATGTTCTAATCTTGTGGACCTGCACATCCTCATTAAACTGACCTGACACTTGTAGCTTGAAAAACCACCTCAGATACTCGTTTCAGGAGTTTGCACTTTAAATGCAAGATACAAACTACAGCTGTAGTTAGACATTTAAGCTCTAGAACTTCACAAAATAACTTTTAATGTATTTGAGCAGCTATAAAAGCTTTTTTACAGTTTAAATGTTGTGTGTATATTTAAGTTCCTGCCCGCGGCGACAGGTGCCTCATCATGTGAACGAGCCCTCTGAACTCATTAACTGTGATAAGTTATCAGTCGCGGCGGCTCCACGCGCACACCTTTCTTACCTGTGCTGTAAGGCCACGAGCCCCAGGGTGAGGACCTGCGCCACCTCCAGCTGCGTGGGCCACTCTCCCGCAGCCACGCAGCCGAAAACCCCGCACTCCTCCCCGAGACCGGACTCCTCGCACTGCATCCCGCTGCTCGCCGTCCTCCGGTTGCTGCTCGTTAACGTCGAACCAACCGTCTCGCGCTGGGAGCAATGAGCGTGCGCGCGCATGTGGAGCATCGACCAAACACGTGCTTCCACTGCGTGGTTTTACGAGGTCAGCGGAAACTGCTTAAACTCGCAATCACGAGTCCGAAAAAAGTGCTAACTTTAAATCACGAGTCAAAGAATCGATGCGCTTTAAAAACAACAAAAACAGGAGCGGTTATCAGAAATGAGTCGGAACAGATTTGGTGTAAACGAGTGTAAACACACGTGGTGTCTGCTGGGTCAAAGGACGTCCTCCCTGTTTTTTTAACATATCGATCCTCTAATCTCAGAAAACATGGAGGCACTTCATGTTTTCTGTTTGTTCAAAAGTTGAGCATCCTCTAGCCACGTGGTGATCAATGCGCCGCGGTGATTGGCTGGGTGCATCGCTTGGATGGATTTGATTGGCTGAGCGCGGACGTAAGGCACGTCCCACTTTCCTCTCCTCCACATTCCCGCTCGCCTCCTGCTGCTCCTAACTTTGTGGGGCGTTTGTGGTTTCTTCCAGGGCAGTGCAGCACCGAACGGCACAATGGCCTCCACCCAAGGTACGTACAAATATAAATTCACACTCTAATGACTAAATAAAAAGTGCTTGAAGTTGGGCCTCCATGTTTTCATGTGCACGCTTTCAGAGTTGCACCTCGGCCTGAAGCTGAACGAGGGGAAGACCAAGCAGATTTTTGAGCTGGTGGACCAGCCAGGACTGGTTCTGGTCCAGTCCAAAGACCAGATCACTGCAGGGAACGCTGCCAGGAAGGATGAGATGGAGGGCAAGGCTGCCATCGCCAACAAAACCACGTGCTGCGTGTTTCAGCTCCTGCAGGAATCTGGTGAGGACTCTGGGAAAGTTGTCAGATCCGTTCAAACGAGCACGCAAAGGTTTGGAAGTGGTGTCACACCCACCCTGAAGCAACACTGCAGTGTGTGCACGAATGAAAACTGCAATGCTGCAGCAAACATCATTAACAAAGGTTAGGGGTCCAGCAGCTGCAGCCATCTTTGGGCTCCTTGCACAGAAAATCACATGAACCTGACAGTTCTGAATTTAAAGATGCTGCATAGTGTCAAACCAAACATGAACCAAGTTCTCCTGAACTATTCCAGATGCTGCAGTTTGAACTAATTAGCTCTGGTAGTTTTTCAGATGTTTTGTGGGTCACACAGCTCTTGTCTGGCCTCGTCACGTTACGCTTGAACTAAATTAATGTGCAGGTTGTGCTTCTAACTTCAGAACCAAGGCAAGTTAATCCTTGGACCAGATACTCTCCTGTGAGAGTTTTACAGTTCATACGTGAGGTTTCTGCATATAATGACAGGTCAGTGAAGTTGGTTGGGCTGCCAGTGTAAATCATTATTTTAACATTAATTGGTAAGCGTACCAGTTAATCTGAATGTAAAGGTGCAGTGTACGCACAGCTGCCCTTCATTTCACTACCACGTGAGCTCATTACAGCTGTTTCACAAGAGCGTGCTTCAAATGATAAGTTTAATGTTTAAGTTAATAAAGTCTGTTTGCAGCTTTATTTGTGCACATTTTTAACATAGAGCTCTCCAAAGTCTATCAGATGTACTTTTTGCTACTTGTTAGTTTTCTTTAAAAAAAGGTTGTTGGTGTCTTTCAAACTTTGTTAAAAAAAAGAAGTGTTAGAAAACGGCATGTGTTTCACCTTTGTTTAAAACTTAACTGTTGGCAACAAAACCTGACGGATCATTGGAGCTGAGTAGACTTTTCGTAGGGTATGAGGCATATTTAATGTTTTTTTTAAATCGTGGTTGATGCACGTGTTTAAAAAGTTCAGGTCAGAAACAGAAAAATGACGACAGATATTCTGACTTCAAGTTCAGATAAAGATTGTGACTTTTTATTTGAGGACATTCTTACACCCTAAATAACTGCAAACTGGTCGTTTTATGGACCTTTTTAAAAACTAATTTTCCACAAGTATGTTAAAAATTAGTTTTGTACAAAACTAAATATTTGCCACAATTTCCTCGTACAAAAATATATTGACTTCTTTCTTTTACCTAACAAACTAAATGCCACAGTGTAACGAACTGTTATTTTTTCCTAATGTTAATGGTCAAGTAACTTCTGTAATGACTTTTTAAGCTGTATTTCAGCAGAGATGGTAAAGTAGTTGTAAAGGCTGCAGTACCTTTGTATACGCTGTCTGGTTAAAAACTAAAATGAAGCTACTGGAGTTAGTGTGAGGAACTCAAAACACCAAACTGGTTTGTTTCGGACGAGAAGATAATTAAGGCCTTCAAAGTCTTCACGGGATTACAAAGGTCCCCTTTAATGATTTCCAGTCGGATTGTTTGGCGTGAAATTGTTGAAGTGTAACTAATTTTAAATTTATTGAATGTTCTGAGTGAGCACTGGAAGCTGATCATGTAGTCATGCTCGCACACGTAGAAAGATGCATTCAGAACGACGTCATTGAGCCTTTGCTTGTTTTTTATCTCAGTAACTGGGTAATGTGGGACCATGTGCCACTCGTGAGCTTGGTGCTTCCACGGAGCTGTGGCAACGACCGTCTTGTGACTTCAAGTGTCATAGCATGACCGATCACATCCTGCTGAACCAAAACCTGATCATCGCCCGCATGCACCAATGTTTTACTCCTGTCTGTTAGAGGATTATTTTGTGAACCACTGGACAGATTTAAACACGATATACATGGATCGACAGCAGATTAGAGTTTGGAGTCAGTCTCGTTTAAGGTGGATGCTACACCTAAGGATCTTAACAAACACTTACTGATGCGGAGCTAACGTGGTGTTTGTTTGTTAGCTGAAAGTCCTTCATGAAACAAACTGAGCAGGACATCGCACAATATCGCACGAGACTGTGTAAAAACAACAAAGTCTATGCTCAATAATCCAGGTATACAATCCAACATTTTTCAGTCGGGTCATCAAAGAAAAATGTTGGATTGTATACCTGGATTATTGAGCATGGACTTTGTTGTTTTCAACCAGTTGACAAGACTGTCAACAAGGAAGAGGGCCGACAATGGAGGAGGGGCGTACCAAGGAGACCATCTTAGCACAAGCAGAAGTGGTTTGTTCCACTTTGGAGTAAGCTGTTGGGGGAAGAATCAGTTTTGTTGTGTGTTTCCTTGACTGATGAAGCCTTCTGGATTGAAGGCGAAACGTTTCAGCACAAAAAAAAGAAACTGTCCAGGTGACCTGACTGAAAAATGTTGGACTGTGTAAAAATGTTTTTGGTGTTTGACTGAACGGAAGATCTTCTTAAAGTCTGGCAGCTGATCTGTTTAATTAAACTTGGGCGTGAATCTGTCTCGCCAACGTCAAAATGTTTAAATCCTGTTGGAAACAAAACAACTTGAGGCGCCGTCATATGAAGGTGCACTTCAGAAGGACTTTGATTTAACCAAATAAGACGGTGATGGACGGTGCCGTGTAGTCTTGGTGACGTGTGACGGGTGTTTTCCAGGCGTCAGGACGGCGTTTGAGAAGCAGCACTCAGACACTGCGTTCGTTGCAGCCCACTGCGAGATGATTCCCATTGAGTGGGTGTGTCGGAGAGTGGCCACCGGGTCCTTCCTGAAGAGGAATCCCGGAGTCAAAGAGGGTTACCGTTTCTCCCCCCTGAAGATGGAGATGTTTTTTAAAGTAAGTCTCGTTGCGTGACCACACAGCATTCAGCAACATGTTTTAAGCTCATCTGTTGTGGTTTTAGGATGATGCCAATAATGACCCTCAGTGGTCAGAAGAGCAACTTTTGGCTGCCAACTTCTCTCTGGCTGGGGTCACTATTGGTCGGTGTGAGGTGGACATCATGAACCGCAGCACGGTGGCCATCTTTGAGATTCTGGAGAAGGCTTGGGCTACTCAGAACTGCACCCTGGTGGACATGAAGGTAAGAAAGGTGACATCACCATCCACTGGTGTCTCACTGATCTTTACACTTGAGGCCCCGTCTACACGGACACAGCCTCTAAAAACGTAGTGTTTTTTGGTTGTTGGTTTAGGGGGGGAATCCTCGTTTACACGGAACTGCAAAAATCCCCCGACTCCGCTGTAGTTGTCATGCCAGCTGGCGCTCTGAATTTTGCACCTCCACTTAATGCGCATGCACACTGGTGCTTGAACCCTGTGCGCAGAGCAGGGCTCTTCAGCTGAATTGCTCAGGGGACCACAGTTACTGAAAGGATACCCAGGAGTTACTGTCATTAAGTACCATAAGGTTTAGAACACATCTGTCTCTAAGCTGCACTTATTAAATATAAGATTAATCATAATTTTGTACATAAATAAGATGCTCCGGTCATTTAGCTGCGGGCAGCCATCGTTCATCGGGAACTAGTCTGCTCCGACGTGCGCAGCTTTCTTGTTGTAGTACAAGGATCAGGCAGCAGATGGTGTTTCACAGGAACTAGCTTGCTTTCAACTCACTCGCACAGATCGTCATGAAGCTCGGCTGTCTGACTCATGGCTCCAACCATTATACTTCAAAATGAACACAGTAACTATGTGAGCATGATCACTGGACAGAACGGTGCCAAACACCTACGTAACTGAAATTATTTTAAAATTATTTACCAGTAAAGCCCAGTCTGATCTAGGTCATGTGTCCAGAAGACAAATCATACCGGTACAATGTGGTAAATATTCATTATATTAGTACCATTGATTTTTTTTATTGGTAAACACTTTTGTTAACAACTGCTGTTTTTTTAATGAACTTTCTAAATACATTTGTTGTGATTTCTCCTCAGCAGAGCTCATGAGGAGGAGTGGGGAGGAAGGAAGGAAGGGGGAGCAGCCCCCTCCCTCCCCGTTGTCTCCTCCGCTCTGTTTAATGCCACTGTTTGAGCTTAAATGAGATACTGGTGTCTAAACGCATATTTACCGTACGCAGAATTAAAAAAAACTTTTATTAAAACATGTACCAGACTTGAGTGCTTTTGCGTCTCTAATCCTGACCATCGACACACATTGATGCTTCTTACATGCAGCTCTGTTTCCTCCTCGACAGCCGGTCACTTTTAACATGAAAGCTGCGTCATTAAAAATTCTCCGTGTGTTTTCCATAATCGCTGAACAAATGAACAGGTCTGTGCATGAAGCGCAAAATCTGGTAACAGCACGGGAACGATCTGAAGAAATGAATGCACGTCTATCTTGGGGGGGATGGTCCAGTACCTCGCTGGTTGTTCAGGTTAGACTTCTGGTCACATGATGACAGAGTGGGTGGAGTTACGGTTGGGAATTTGAAACCCTGAGCAAGAGTTGTTGTACATCTGATTACCAGAGGGCATTCTCTTTGTGTCACAAACGCCTGCCCCCGTGAAGGGCGGGGTGCTGGGAGCCACTGTGATTCCCCAATCTCATGCATTAGACCTGACCCCCAGCCTGGGCTGAATGAGAAAAACCCTGCAAGATACAGAATTAACTATTTCCATGGGGAAACGGCGCCGCTCACTGGTGAAGATGCATATGATTTAAACCATGACGTAAATATGTCAATGATTTTAACGGAAATACGAGTCGCGTAAATTAGCAACATTAAAATCAGCGGGACAGAACACTTACTTTTCTAAGTAAATTAAGACTGTTCTTATTCATAAACAGAATTATACCAGTACGTTTTCCTTAATCTAGCATATTGAACGGCGATCCGTGCGGCCCGGAAGTATTTAGTGCATGCGCAAATGAGCGACACTACGGATCGAGTTCCGCAACAGATCGGGGAACCACAGCCAAGAGCTCCCAGCTGTGTCAAAGGAAAATGTTAGTCAGTGGCAGGAAGTCCTTCAAAATAAAATCTAAAAATATACATTTTGAAAATTATGAAAACAAAACATAAATTAGACGCTCCTGCATATAAACCACGGGCACAAAGTGTGAGACTAAGGTAGCAGCTTGTAGAATGGCAGTTACGGTCAGTTTGTTTTATGGTTTAAAATCTAGTTTTATTTAACAATAAACCCATTGGGGGCCGAACTGAGTTCACCCGTGGGCCTGATTTGGCCCCCGGGCTGCGAGTTGAGGAGCCCTGGTGCAGAATGTAAATATTTCTTTGGAGAGTGCAAAGCTTTGTGCGGACTGATGAGGAGGTCAGTTTTAATGTAGCTCAGGGAGCAGCGTGCTGGACTCCAGCTCCACTGTTGTTGGGAGAAGCATGCCGTTTGGCCGCGCATGTGTGAAATCTACGCCTGTAGTGTGCACGTGCAACTTGACGCAGAGCATTTCACAACTGGAAAATCTCCACTCTGACCTGCATTCAGAAAGCTTGGTTGAATGAAAGCATGTCGTGTAAACGGAACATCTTTATCACCCTCAGCCACAAAGCAAAGGCAAACTCTTGTTGTTGCCTGTTAGCAAAATGTCTCAAACCATGGAGCTGATTTAAATTGAACTTTCATAAATTATTAAATGAACATCTAGAGCTGATTAACTTTTCGATGTTCTAATTCAAGATGACCGCCACAGCTAATGAGCATTAGCCGGCACAACAAGGCTATAACTCGGCTGATGTCATTTGAGCTGACGTGGTAGTAGCTGAGCATCGTGCCCCACATCTCTTCTGAGTGTAGGTCTCGCCTGAGACGGCTCACATTATTTCCAGGGGTTTTAATGACGGCTACAGCTGTCATTTCTCAGCACCTGATGATGGTGGTCTCACGTCGGGGCATGAAAGGTGGCGGGTGCTGTGGAGTTGCGACGCCTCTAATCTGGTTTACCTTCGCTCGTAGATTGAGTTTGGTGTGAACGTGAAAACGCAAGAGATCGTCCTCGCTGACGTGATCGACAACGATTCATGGAGGCTGTGGCCCGCTGGAGATCGGAGCCAGCAAAAAGACAAGCAGGTCGGGGCTTTTCTTTGTTTCGACGTTTCTATTGGCTTTTAGTGACGTTTAAAATGTTGAAAACGTGTTTTTCAGGTGTACAGAGACCTCAAAGAAGTCACCCCGGCAGCTCTGCAGGTGGTGAAGCGAAACTTTGAGTGGGTTTCTGAAAGGGTGGAGGTACACAGAGTCTTCAGACTTCTGCTTGGTTTTAGTTGTGTCACGGTGTCGGATGTGATTTGTGCCGTCGTCTGATGTGTAGAAAATAACGTGGGTTTGTTTGTAGCTGCTGCTGGAGCCCCAGGCCCGGGGCAGGGTGGTGGTCCTGATGGGCTCCACCTCAGACATGGCACACTGTGAGAAAATTAAGAAGGCCTGTACCTCCTACGGGATCCCCTGCACCCTTAGGATCACCTCGGCACACAAGGGTCCAGATGAGACTCTCCGGATCAAAGCAGAATATGAAGGTGTGTGAGTTTGGGACATGAGCTGTTCATCATGATGTTACGATTCATATTTGACATGCTCTTCCACAGGTGATGGTGTCCCGACCATATTTGTGGCTGTCGCTGGCAGAAGTAACGGCCTCGGGCCGGTGATGTCTGGAAACACTGCGTATCCTGTCATCAACTGTCCTCCTCTCACTCCGGACTGGGGGGTGCAGGATGTGTGGTCGTCGCTCCGTATGCCAGGCGGTGAGCAGAACGTTCTGTGTGCTTGGACAGCAGTCTGCAGGTCCATCAGTCTGCAGGTCCATCAGTCTGCAGGTCCGTCAGTCTGCAGGTCCATCAGTCTGCAGGTCCGTCAGTCTGCAGGTCCGTCAGTCTGCAGGTCCGTCAGTCTGCAGGTCCATCAGTCTGCAGGTCCGTCAGTCTGCAGGTCCGTCTGTCTGCAGGTCCATCAGTCTGCAGGTCCGTCTGTCTGAGCCTCTTGTTTGTATTTCCCCTGCAGGTCTCGGCTGCTCCACGGTCATTTCCCCCGAGGCCGCTGCTCAGTTTGCTGCGCAGATCATCGGTTTGAGCAACCACCTGGTGTGGTGCAAACTGAGGGCTTCCATGCTCAACACCTGGGTGTCCCTCAAGGTGGCCGATCAGAAGTTACAAGCCTGCAGCCTCACCGCTGCTTAGCCTCTTCCCAAAGTGTCTTCTTAGTTCCCCCACTAACCTCCGTGACCTTCTTCATTGTTCTTTACACACAAATGAACAGATTGAGACTAATGAATAAAACCTCTTGAATTATTTGTCTTTGTTTTATTTCTACGATGGGGGTGGTGGAATAAAACAAAATGGTGATACGGTAGTCCTTCGCTACCTTGCGGTTTATCGTGGTTTCGCTCTATCGCAGTTTTTCAAAATAAAATTGGACATGACACACAACTGGCTGATTGATGGGTAAGCCGCACAATCGACATGGAATTTATATTTAAAATAAATTATTTAAAATCATTTAGCACCTGTGTGCAGCCCACACTGCAGGAGAAACGTCCTGTTCTGCTGTGAAGTGGGCGTGGCCAAGAGCCGAGTCCATGACATGTTGTGCTCTTAAAGTGTTTAAAGTCTAGAAACATTGTTTAGAATATTGCAAGGCTGTGGAAAGGGTTTTAAACACCTTAATATATGTATTTATAATACTAAAACTACTACTTGTACTACTATTCCTACTTCGCAGTTTTTCACTTATCGCGGGTCTTCAGGGTACGGATCCACAGCGATAAACACGGGACTACTGTATTTCCATTTTTCATACCCACTCTTAAACGTTACACCTAGTTATAAATGAAGCACTTTTATTAATGACTTTGTAACTGCCATATATATTTTACACTAAAGAGTAACTAGTTGTTAACCACATTTGTTGAAGCAATATCTTACCTGTTGTAGATGGGTGTTTGGAAGAATGGAGGTGAACTATGAACAGATTGACAAAGTGGATATCTGCCGTCTTAAAAGGACTTCAGTCCAAGTTTTCATATAGTTGGTGCCAACTTTTAATTTCTAAATGTTTGCACCACTGTTGGTTTTAGGTTACTCGTGTTTCAGCTGACCTTTGACAAAACTCCAGCAGGGAAGGTCCTCACACTGCTCTGGAAGTGCTGTAGCTGGACGCTACTGCCGTTTGTGTTTTCAGAAAGAAACCGAATTATACGTCAAGTGAAATGGATGTTAAAGGATTTAAAAACCTGTTTTTGTTTTTACATGAAACTGAAAATTTCGAGGCGAGTTGTTTTACGATCATAATCTTTTATTCATTAATTTTTTAGCCCCTCTTGGATTAGTTATCATGTATGACTTAAAAATAGTCTGGCCCTTTTTACTGTTGTGCCACAGTTATCAAGAACAGGCACTTTCACTGACATACTGAACAGAGTATGTAGAGGTGTACATTGTTCTCAAAGTTATTTTTATTGTACAAGTTGATACTTATTTAAATAGCTATGACTGTCATCTCACATTTTTACAAATAAATCATCCAAATGAGTTATAGAATTTACATTATTACTGTATATAACTATACATTTCAAAAGTGATCTTAGACACTTCCTGTTATCTTAAGAATGTGGAGTTTTGTAAACCACTCAAACAAATGAGACAGGGTTTATAATAGTATCTGTAACGCTTTTTAGACAAGCACACGTTCTTGTGCTGAGATTGTAGTTTTTCAGGTACTTGCACTGTTTATGTTCCTAGTTTTTAATCTGCAGTGTTAATACCTTCAAAAGGACCTTTTTGGGTACCACTTTACAATAAAGGTCCCCTTACAGATGGCTGATAAATAGTTTATAAATACATAACTAATTCCTCTATAACACTTTATAAATCATTAATAACTGCTTATTATGCATTAATTAACAGTGACAGAGAGACAAAACTGACTCATTTCTTGCCAAATCTGTTCACCTACATATTTCAGAAGAGTTGTTATATTAAACATTTCAGACTAAGTTACTACCTTGTAAGCACAATAAGCATCTGTAAATCTATTTTTAGGATATAATATTGTACTTTAACACTACATTATAAGTATTATACTCTAAAAGCATTAGGTTTACAAATGCTTATTGTTCTTACAAGGTATACTCAGTGTGAAATGTTTAATATAACAACTCTTATGAAATGTATAGGTGAACAGATTTGGTTCACTATTTGGCAACAAACTGGTCAGTTTTGTCTCTGTCACCATTAATCAATGCATGATAAGCAGTTATCAATGATGTATAAAGTGTTTAAAGAGGAATTAATAGTGTATCTATATTAGCCATCTATAAGGGGAGCCTTACTGTAAAGTGGTACTTGTTTTTTTATTGTGTTTAAACTCTAACAGCACGCTGTGTGCAACACCTGGTTCAGAGTATCCTGCCTGTGTGTTTTTAATGTTACTTCTGCTGGTTTTCAATGTCTTGTATTTGATTAGTTGCAGGACTTCCAACCAGCCACAGGAGGGAACACGGAGCCCATTCTCCCAGTCTGATCTTTTCTGTTGCTCCAGCAGTTTGCAGCCAAGGGAATGAGTCAGAGTATTGTGGCATCATTTTCCCTTGTCTCCTGTGATAGCGCAGGCTTTCTTATGATCAAATTTATGAGTAGAAAGGTTTGTGGTGAGCTAAATCTTTGCTCATGTGTAGGTGGCGGTGGGAGGATAGAAGTGTTGTGGGATGAGTGTGATACAGATGAGTGCATGGAGGCTGAATTCAGATGAAATTCAACATGTTTTTAAATGTTTTTGTTAGATTTTACACATTAAAATTGCAACTTAGCAAGAACCAGCCTGCCTTTCCTCATGCTCGATATGAGCAGAATGGAGCAAAAATGGACATCATGTCCAATTCTCCATGACTTCATGTTTCCTTGACAACAGTAACATGGCAACTATCAGTGTGTACATATCTATATATATATATATATATATATATATATATATATATATATACAATAATCTGCCTTTTTTTTGCTGTTCCTTCTCTTATTGCCATGCTCTGCAGATCCCTTTAATTCCCATCTGTCCTTTTTGGCCTTTGACAGTTTCTTTGCTCACCATTGTCATGGATACAACGCTGGCTTTTATTAAATGAACACACTATGAGTCATCGGTAAAGTCGACCCCTCTAAAAGCTTGTGATTATATGTAGTAATGCTTTGATCTGGTTCTTGTTCTGTTGTCTGATGTCGTTTTCTTTCTTTATTGGTTTGTTCTTTCTTAAGGCAAATTGTTTAGTAAAGAAGCTAAGGATAAAAACAAAACTTTTTAAAGACTCAGATAAAAGACTTTATTTAGTTTTCAGAGCCAAGAGGGTGGCAATGAGCGTCTACAGCTTATTTACACATTTTCTACAACAATATGTTTTCTCCCGTTTATCGTTAGTGTTGTGTACAAAATTTCTATTGTATTAAGCAACTAAACCTCCTCTAAACCTTTGCTTTCTTATTTTCTGCCTGTTTTTCTCCTCCGTGTATCTTTCACACTGTGATGTAACAACATCCCGTTGTTACTCTGGCACCTTTACACTTCTTCTGTCACTCATCCTCTGTCCAATAAGTGCTGCATCACTTCGTCCCCCTCCTCTCTCTTGGTGTACTAACATCATTTCTGACCAGCTTTTGTAACATTTAAACTACTAAACTTCTTGTGATCACAGCGCCCCAAGGTCGTGGCACGAGCGGGACTTCTGCCTTAGAAACTTGCCTACATCTCGCTCCCGCGGATACCGAGGCACCAGGCTAGACAGGAAACGTTTGGCCCGTGAGGTAATACTTTCACGCTGGCCTCCTCCACACATGTCCTCTGCACTGGTCCCCGGGGGCCACGGAGGCTGGCCCCTGGCTAGCCGCACAGCGCACTCCAGGAGCTCAGGTGTACGATGGTCCAGCGAGGCAGAGATTTCCAGATACAGACAGTTGAAAAGGGCAGCGCTGGACATGGCCTCTGGTGAAGCAGACAGAGGACAGGGACCAGTCAATAGAGGAAGACATCACAGTTGAAAGTTTAGAGTAAAGGTCTTTGTTAAATGTGTGAAGTTCATTAATTGACATTTTTATATTTTCTCATTAAAAAATGTTGAAAAAGAAGCAACAAAAATATGTAAAAGTTTTCAAAATGTTTTCGGAAGTATTTTACTGCTACTAAAGTTACTTAACAATAGGTTCAAGAGATAATGTAGCCATTTGGAAGGATAATTTGGCAGAAGTTGCAAACATTTATCTTTCTTGTTGTAAATACCGTAACTTCTGGACTATAAGCCACTACTTTTTTCCACAGGCTTTGAACCCTGTGGCTTATACAATACTGTGGATAATTTAGTTTAGTTTTTGACAGACTAACAAGCTTCCTAATGCCAAAACATTTAGCCTTGTCACACCCGGACGCTCACATAGCTTCCCAAAACGCCTCTCTTGGGGGGTGGGTCCTCATGACTCAGTGAGACTACCTGTATAAATAAAGGTTAAAAAAATCTGACCAGTGAAATTACTGAACAGGTCACAGTGGACCAGTGGGGGCGGCTGTGGCTAAGAGGTTAGAGCAGTCGTCCTCCAATGCAAGAGTTGTGGATCAATTCCATCAGCAGTCACATGCCGAAGTGTCCCTGGGCAAGACACTGAACCCCTTATTGCCTCCGATGTGTGTCCCATCTGTGTATGAATGTGGTACAGATATGATTATTATTTGTAGAGATCTAGTAGAGTGCTGTATGAATGGGTAAATGAGGGCACAGATTGTAGTGTAAAGCGCTTTGAATATCTTGATAAGATAGAAAGGCGCTATATAAGTGCAGTCCATTTACCAATGAAATGGGGAAGGTAAGAGAGAACGGGGGAAGAGAGTCTGTTTTCTCCTCCCCTCCTCGTTGTGCACCCAGGGAGGGGGGAAACAACGTTGCAGTATGGGATTGCATCAAGGATCGGCTCTGAGCCCCTTCTTGTTTGCTTTGGTGATGGACTGACTAACAGATGAGGTCAGGCAAGAATCCCCGTGGACTATGATGTTTGCAGATGACATTGTGATCTGTGGTGAGAACAGGGAACAGGTGGAAGAGAACTTGGAGAGGTGGAGGTATGCACTTGGAGATATACACTTAAAGAAGAGGAATGAAAGTCAGCTGTAGTAAGACAGAGTACATGTGTGTGAATAAGAGGGAGGCCCGTGGAAAAGTGAGGCTACAAGGATGAATGGAGAAAAGTTTCAGGAGTGATTTGCAACAAAAGGGTGTCAGCAAAGGTCAAAGGAAAGGTTTACAAAACAGAGGTGAGACCAGCTATGCTGTATGGTCTGGAGACAGTGGCATTGATGGGAGAAAGAATAGGAAGTGCCAGAAATGAAGATATTGAGGTTTTTGTTAGAAGTGAAAAGGCTGGATAAGATTAGGAATGAAATCTTGGGAGGTACAGCACAAGTTGAAGGAAGGGGAGGTAAGGTTAGAGAGGCCAGACTGAGAAGGTTTGGACATGGCCAGAGGAGGGACAGTAGGTATATTGGTAGAAGGATGTTAGAAATGCAGTTGCCAGGAATAAGACAAAGAGGAAGGCAAAAGAGGAGATATATGGATGCAGTTAGAGAGGACATGAAGGTAGTTGGAGTGAGGACAGAGGATGCAGAGGACAGAGATAAATGGAGTAGGAGGACTCATTGTGGCAACCCCTGAAGAGGAAAAGCCAAAAGAAGAAGAATTTCAGTGTGGATTTTTGACTTTACAGGTTGTACATGGTCAAAAAAAGTGGATTCCTGAAAGTGTACTGCGGCATGTTTTGGTCCCATCTCCTCTACAACATTATGATTAGTTACTTTTCCCATAACAAACTCATCTTGCAACGACTGACTCAGCTCTCCATTCTCTCAATAAAGAAGCCCTAACCAAAAAGAGCTCCTTAAAACACATTTAAAAGAATATGATTAGATGAGGGCTCAGTTGATAGAGCTGCCACCTCTCAGTGAGCAGATCGCCAGATCAAATCCTGGCTGGGGGCCTTTCTGGGTGGAGTTTGCATGTTCTCTCCGTGCATGCGTGGGTTTTCTCAGAGTACTCCGGTTTCCTCCCACAGACCAAAAACATGCATGTTAGACTGATTGGTAACTCTAAATTGTCCCTAGGTGTGAGTGAGAGAGTGAATGGTTGTCTTTCTTGTTTGTCGCTATGTGTCCCTGTGATGGACTGGAGACCTGTCCAGGGTCTACCCCCCCCCCCACACACACACACACACACAGGGATGGCTGGACATGGGTACCAGAAGACCCTGCGACCCGGAAAGGAGGAAGCAGGTAAAAGATAATGAATGGATGGATGTTTGGATGATTGGATCACACTTCTCTGTGAATCGCCACCTGATGGTGGTGGAGGAGTTTGTGTGCCTGAACGATCCTACAAACTACTTTGTATGTTGTCTGAGGCAATTGCCCCTGGTAGGGTGTCCCAAGGCAAATTTGTTCTTGGTGACAGACCAGATAAAGAGGTATTGAGATGACTCATATGGACAGAAGGCAACAAGGAGTTTGATGTTCCTCACTAGGACCTGGGTTACCAGAGATCCACCTTAGTGCTAGGCCTGGGGAGGGGATCATCGGTGAGCACCTGAGGCCTCATGTACAAAGGGTGTATACGCACAAAAACATGGTGTACGCCCCTTTTCACACAAAACTTCAGATGTATGAAGAATGAAATTACCATGAAAATGTGCACAGCCCCTCACCAGCTTCATGGCTGGCATACGCACGTTTCTATGGATATTCTATGAAGTCCTTAGCAGGGGTGCTGAAAGGTGCTCCAGCTGGGGACTTATTTATTCTGCCGTGGGACTTCAATAGCCATGCGGACAGTGTGACCTGGAGGGGCTTGATGGAGAGAAAATGTTTCTCTGATCTAAACCAGAGCAGCATTCTGCTGTTTAGCTTCTGTGGTAGTCACAGTTTGTCCATAACCATGTCACCATGTTTGAACATTAGGGTGTTCATAAGTGCACATGCCACCAGGAGACTCTAGGTCATAGATTAATGAAAGACTGTAGTCTTGTCATCTGTGGCTGTATGTTTTGAATAGTTGGGTGAACAGAGGAGCAGAGCTGTCTGATTCTCCACCATGTGTATGCGATTGAGGGTTTGCTGGGAACGCCTGGCAGAAGATCCCTTCATAGGGATCTTCAATTCACACTTCTGATAGAACTTCAACCCCATCCCAGCAGACATTGAGTCTGAGTAGGCCATGTTTTGCACCTTCATTGTCAAATTGGGTGACTTGAGCTGTCGTCACAAGATTGTCTGTGTCTCTCGCAGCAGCCATCCTCCATTTTCTTGGTGGACAACCCTAGTTAGAGAGGCTGTCAAGCTAAAGAAAGAGTCCTCTAGGGCCTTGTTTACTGGTAGGACTCCGGAGGTAGCTGCGGGGCATTGACGGACCAAGTGAGCTGTAGCCCTGGCTGATGCTGAGGCAAAAGCTGGGACATGGAAGGAGGTTGGTGATGCCATGAATTGAGACTCTTTATCAGCTCAGAGGAGATTCTGGCAAACCTTCAGGCAGCTGAAGCAGGGAAAGCAGCTCTTTACCAACTTTGTGTATAGTGGAGGTGGTGCGATGTTGTTGGGTGTTTCCATTTAAACCTGTCTTCTGGTTCATGAAATATTTTACTAACAGAAGACAGGGGCAGCTGTGGCCGAGTGGTTAAAGCAGTAATCCTCCAATGCAAGATGTTGAGGGTTCAATTCCATCAGCAGTCACATGCCGAAGTGTCCCTGGGCAAGACACTGAACCCCTCATTGCGTCCGATGTGTGTCCCATCGGTGAATGAATGTGAAAGCACTGATTATTCTTTGTACAGGTCTAGTAGAGTGCTGTATGAATGGGTCAATGAGGGCACAGATTGTGCTGTAAAGAGTTTTGAGTATCTTGATAAGATAAAAAGGCACTATATAAGTACAGTCCATTTACCATTTAAACACATACAAACATAAGCAAAAACAATATTGTCTATATTTTGTCTTACAGCAGAAGGCAGTAATTACGGAGAACACCACATGTAGTGCTGTAAAAACTGTGTGAATGTGGTGAGGAAGTGTAGTCACTATGAATACTTCAACTATAATTGTGGCACCCATCCTCCCACACAGTGGTGAGCCATGAATTGCACATTTACGTCAGTGTTTACTGCCATTTACAATGTAGGAAATTCCATCACCAACTGTGAGAGCAAAAAGTCCTGCTGGGAACAAACCCTACGAGGAATAATAAGGTAGCATGATGTGGGTGAAAACCGGACTCTCTCACCTTGAGAGGTGACTTCCCGTGTGCGAACCAGGTCACTCTTATTACCGACAAGGATTATGGGAGTCTGAGGCTGAGTCTCTCTTAAGAGAAGTCGGAGTTGAGCAGTTCGGTGGAAGCTGCGCCTGTCGGTCACAGAAAATACTAGGATGCACACCTCAGACTGCAGAACCGACAGGTCCTGGGGGAAAGAAGCAAAGAAGACTTAACTTTGCAAGGATGTGAACAAGAAGACTGCAGCATCTTGCACAGCAAAAAAAATAAAAAAAATAAAATGTGCACATGAACAAAGAAATAACATGAAGAAAAATGTGTGAGAATATATATAAAAAAGTAATTCTAATGTCACTCATGCCAAACACCTTTATTACATGCAGAAAAACAGTGCTGCTTGAGAAATATTCTACCTGAAAGTTTATTTAGTAGGAAATCACCTGTATAGATTTTGTAATGTAAGATCCTGGTGAGACTCATGCTTTCAACTTCTCCAACTAGCTACAAAAAACAAGTCTAAAAATGAGCATGAAAAAGAAATACAATAAAACACAATCTCCTAACAAGCAGAGTGAACACCAGCTTGTCCTCAGTCTGTGCTGCTATGATCCACCAACTACTCACTTTGTTTTGATTAAATCCATAAATAGTTCAAACCAAACTCTGCATTCTAATGAATCACACAGGAGTTACAGACAGAGGACATTTAAAACCTTCAATATAACAATCCATTATTAAAAAATAAAATAAAAATACAGAAAGCACAACAAAGTGTTATCAAAGTGTCAGGTGTTTTCATACATTTATCCATCCATCCTTCTAAATCAGAAACATTACTGCACTCATCTGTTACTCCCACTCTGAGACAAGCTAACATCCACACAGACGCCTCTTTACTGCGCTCGAGGGAAAAGAGGAATGAATATGCAAAGTAACCTGAGAGTGAGTGCTCCTTGGGAAAGCACATGCAGCAGATTTACTGTCCATGCATTTATCACATCTAGGTTGGACTATTACAATTGTTTGTTATCTGGGTGTCCAAAAGCTTCTTTAAAACGTCTTCAGCTGATCCAAAATGCTGCTGCCAGAGTTTTAATGAGAGTAGGAGAGATCATCTCTCTCCAGTTTTAGTTTCTCTCCATTGGCTCCATGTCAAATCCAGAATAGAATTCAAAATCTTACTTCTAACCTACAAAGCCCTCAGCAACCTAGCTGGGGGAGTGGTGGCGCAGAGGTTAGAGAAGGTGGGCCTGTGATCGGAAGATTGCCGGTTCAAGCCCTGGTACCGACAACATCAAAAATGTGGATAAGGTAGGTGAAGCACCCACACCTGCCCCCACCCTCATTCATCCCACTCTTTTCCACGGTCCCATGAACCATGGAAAAGACCTCAAACACGGGCCAAGCCGGATATATCTGACCCGCGCCGTGACAGTGGAAAAGGGGCATCTGGGTCCTTGAGCAAGGCCCTTAACCCCCACCATCTGCTCCTCCAGGTGTCCTAGATAGTAGCTCTCTGCTCCACACAGAGGCTGTGGTAGCTCGGTGGTCTGTGGTTGCGTCAGGAAGAACATCCGGCGTAAAAATAACTGCGACCCCTGAAGAAGGGAGCAGCCGAAAGAAGAAAAAAGAAAAAAACCTTCTAACCTACAAAGCTCTCAACAACGTAGCTCCATCCAACATTTTTCAGTCAGGTCATCTGGACAGTTTCTTTTTTTGTGCTGAAACGTTTCGCCTTCGATCCAGAAGGCTTCATCAGTCAAGGAAACACAACAAAACTGTTTCTTCTCACAACAGCTTACTCCAAAGTGGAACAAACCAGTTCTGCTTGTGATAAGATGGTCCAATAAGAGATAAGTGATGAGACCATCTTATCACAAGCAGAACTGGTTTGTTCCACTTTGGAGTAAGTTGTTGGGAGAAGAATCAGTTTTGTTGTGTGTTTCCTTGACTGATGAAGCCTTCTGGATCAAAGGCGAAACATTTCAGCACAATAAAAGAAACTGTCCAGATGACCTGACTGAAAAATGTTGGATTTTATACCTGGATTATTGAGCATGGACTTTTTTGTTACCCTAGCTCCATCTTATATTACAGATCTTATTGTTCCATATTTTCCTAACAGAGCACTTCGCTCTCAGACTGCAGGTTTATTTGTGGTTCCTAGAGTTTCCAAAAGCAGAATGGGAGGCAGATCTTTCAGTTCTCAGGCTCCTCTCTGGTGGAACCAACTTCCAGTTTCTGTCCGTGAGGCTGACACATTATCCAGTTTTAAGACTGGGGTTAAGACTTTTCTTTTTGATAAATCCTATATTTAGGGTTGACTTGGGTTTCCTGAGTTATCCCTTAGTTATGCTGCTATAGGCTTAGACTGCTGGAGGACAAACTGAACACATTACTTCACTTTGCTACAGTCTTTACTTTCTCTGCTCAACCTGTTTTGTATTTTTTACTATCCTCGCCGTGTTTTTGTCTTTCTTCCAATAGGAGGTTCACCTGCACCTACACCTGGACCTGCCATTCTGTGTTCGTGTGTCTCTCCTTCCTGTCCTCTCTAACCAGCCGGTTGAAGTAAATGGCCCCTCGCCCTGAGCCTGGTTCTGCTGGAGGTTTCTTCCTGTTAAAGGGAGTTTTTCCTTTCCACTGTCTCCTTTGTGCTTGCTTGGGATGGGAGACTGTGACAAAGTGAAGATTCAACACAATCTGCTGCTGGATTCTTCCTTGGATAGAGAACTTTACTAACTGGCCGTTGTATGTATGTGAATATTTTTGTACAGTGTCCTGAGACAACTTCTGTTGTGACTACAAAAATAAATTGAATAGAATTGAATTTCTGAAACAAAACTTCTCTTGGCTGCAGATTCATTTATGGAAAGTAATGGAAAATTAAATGAATGGAAACAAAGCATAAAATGTGCTCCAGTTATACAGTAAAAGTCCATTCTGAACTACTCAATTTGCAGGAAGCACTGCACAGTACTGTTTTACGTTTTAGATGTTTGAGCTATTTCATTTGACAACATGTTGCCCAGTATTGTGTGAATGATTCAGCTTTGTCTTGATTCTTATTCCTTTTTCTGTACTTAAAACAATCTAACTACTTACTTTCTATTATTTTAAACATTATTATATCAATGAAATTCCAGCACATTTAAGAGATGGTACTATGACTTTTGTTTGGGTAACTTTTATACTTTCAAAATATTTCACTTTATTTACAGTGTTTCTCTTATAAATATATTGAGATCTCTTCAAATTCTTAAAAGCTTTTGTCTGAATTTTTTAAATCTACCTAAGCACTCTCACTCTGTTTGTAAGCTTGAGCTACTTTTAGTTTTAAGTGTAAGGATGGTACCATTTGCTGTTTCTGTTTGTGTCTGTGTTCCCCACTCTGCTTTTTGTGCTCTTGTAGTTCTGCTCTTTGTGTGGTTTCTGTTCCTGTGTATCTGGTCCTGTTTTCCACTCACTCCTCAGTCTGCCTCTCCACTCCTCAGTCTTTATCATTCACACCTGTCCCTCAGCAGCCACCTGCCCAGGTGCTCTCATTACTCACTCTCCCTCTGTCTAATAAAAAGCCTTTCTCTCCTCCACTCCTGGTCCGGTCATTGTTCTGTATTCACAGACATCTCAGTCCTCCTCTGTCCTGTCTGTTTTTGTCCACCTGATGATCTGCTCTGCCTGTGTACTCTGATGTCCTGTTCAGCCTTGTTTTTGATCCTGTTTTGCCAGAGTAAGTTTTGCTGCACCGACAGCCTTTTGTTTTGTTGTTTAAATAAATTATTTTTATTTAAACTCCTGCCTCGCTCGCCTCCCTGCAAATGGGTTCCAACTGTGAGGATTGTGACATTAAGCTACCATTCTGATACTTTTAGCTAGTCTTTGTTAGTTTTAGCAGAGACACGTTCATGTTTAATTGTATGTTTGGATGAATAACTTGACAGATGTGATCAGATTATGTTCATGGTTTCAGCAAACGGTGCACACACACAAAAAACCTCCCCAAAGGAAACAAAAAGAAGTGCTAAAAATTGAAAGAGAAAACATTTTCAAGGTTTTATTAAACAGGCAGGATTTCAGTCAGACTCTATACTGTGACATTTTGAAAGGTAGCTGAGCACACAGCTTCCAGCTGCAGAGAGGGCTCAGCGGCCTAATGAGGGAGCAGAGACAGCAGGGACCAGGACGTGTTATTTGCCTCACCTGTTTCCAGTTGTCATAGATAATGATGGCACTCTCCTCATCATCCACAGTGACTGTACGAATATAACCCTCCCCTAAGGAAAAGGACAGGAACAGTTGAGTCTCAGTTGGGACACCCTGTCATTTATTTACCCACTGCTCACAGCAGAGTGGAGTATACACAGGATCATTCTCTTCTGAATAAATCTAATCAAACATTTAGCTTTGTACCATCAGAATCCACAGACGCAGTTCTGTCCATGTCCCCGGCAAAGGCAAGAGCCAGTGAGGACTTCCCAACGCCATTTTGCCCCAGCAGGGCAAGCCTCAAGGGCCCTTCATGTCTGCCTTCTACAGCCACAGTGGGAGTGTCGTCCAAAGCAGGGCTGAAACTGAGAGGTGAGGCAGAAGGTCCTGCTGCCCCCGATGTCCACTCACAGTCATCATGGACAGCTTCTTCTCGCCTGAGCTGGTGTTTTATTGGCAGAGGAGTGCTTCCTCTGCGAACAGTTGGGGTGCTGGGCAGAGTCATGCTGTCACACTGGAGAGGAACATAGAGCATCTTATAAATACATGGTTTGTTACCGTAACACTGCTCATCACTTACCAAGTATGTATTAAAAACAGGACTAATATGTATGTATAGGATTAGTACCATGGAATGAATAGATAAGTAACTGCTACATATCACTTTAAGTACTTATGATTACCTGGTACCAGGTATGTATCCAGTACATAGCAGGTGTACTTGTTAATTACCAGGTAAGTTTCCAGTATATAACCTGTAAGTACAGGGTATCAAATCTCTTCATTGTACCGCCTGGTTCCCATAAGTACCAGGTGCATGCCCTGGGTAGATAGTGAATGCCAGGTACGTACTTAAATACTAGGTTTGTACACAGTGTGTACTAGGAACATACTTGGTAGATACTAGTGGTGGGATGTAACAAAGTACAAGTTACAAAGTACAAAGTTACTGTACTTAAGTACATTTTTTCATGTATCTGCACTTTACTTAAGTAGAATTAAATGTGGGTATTTTCGACTTTTACTCCACTACATTTACATTAATTACATTACATTAATTAGTACTTGGGTGTGCACATGAATGACAACCTCAGCTGGAGCAACAACACTTCCAGCCTGATCAAGAGAGCACGTCAGAGACTCTACTTCCTCAGGCGGGTGAGACGAGCTGGTCTGGGAAGCTCAGTCCTCACCTCCTTCTCCAGGTGTGCAGTGGAGAGCATCCTGTGCTCCAGCATCAACGTGTGGCATGGAGGCTGCACAGCTGCAGAAAGAAAAGCTTTGCAGAGAGTGGTGAAGGCTGCACAGAAGATGTTGGAGTCAGCCTCCCCACCATCACAGACATCTACACCTCCAGATGCAGGAAGAGAGCCACCTGCATCATGAAGGACCCCACTCACCAAGCACACACACTTTTTGTCCCACTCCCCTCAGGCAGGAGGTAGAGGAGCATTAAGTGTAGAACCACTAGACTGAGGAACAGCTTCTACCCTGAGGCTGTTAGACTCATGAATCTTTAACCAGGATAATCACTGTGGGAAAAAAAAATCACATCATGTTGCTGCTGATCTGTTTCATGTTGATGTGTTCATGCGTGCTCATCTGCTCACACAGACTCATGTTCGTGCTGTTGTTCAACGTAATGTTTTTACGCTATTAGTGCTTAGTGTATTTTTAGTTGATGTTTTTCTTAGTTCATATCTTAGATGTTATCATTGTTTTTCTTTTACATTTTATTGTTGGATGTAACTGGGACCCTGTGGACATAATTTAATTCCACCACATGTACCACATGGGGTGCGAATGACAACAAAGAATCTCTGACTCTGATTAAGTACAGGTACTTTCTACTACACTACATTTCTATAATGTGTTGCGTTACAAGTTACATTCACATGTTTTTTTAATTTGTTCTTTAGTTTGAAAGTATCCAATGGTGAGAGGAGAGTTGGTCCATTGAATCACTGCAAAGTGGGCAGGTAACTTTAGGCCCGCCTTCAAGAATAACTGGACCAATGAGGTACATAGTAGTATATACATCATTGAGCTGGGCGCACCCACAGCACCACTAACACACCCAAAATGGATTCCACCACGGAGAGTCAGCCAGAATGCGCCACCCATGGCCTTATTGAAAGATTATTGAAAGACTATTGATTATTGAAAGACTGTTCAGTACAGCAGGACAGATTCTCTCTCCCAAAAGAGACAAAAAACTTTGAAAACCAACTTCTTCTGAACTTGAACAAGAAATTCTTGCTGCAATATTAAAATGTGTCAGTTCATGATGTTAGGAGACAAGAGATGTCTCCAAATGTCTCGACACTCGGGTCCAAGTTTTAAAAATGTGTCAGGAAGTTAAAATATTGTTCAATATTGACCCATTACAAGGTTGACTAGACAGGATTTAACTAGAGTTGAAATGATCAGAGCCTGTCCCTTTGTTGTGTCTAATGCTCCTTTTTTCAGGCAGACAACTTTTACTTAAATGTTTTTACTGCAGTTAAAATGACACAATGGTTTTACTTTGTGTTAAATAAAAACTTTTAAAAGTAAAATCATTCCTCTTATTTTGATTAATGTAATTTAACTCTGCAGGTCATCCCTGAAATTCTGACACAGAATCTCAAGTCCAAGTGTGAACTGTGTCACAGAGTAAACACAATAAAAACATGTATTATCTGCAGCATTGTTCAGTAAAATGACACAACACTATTAATGTACTACAGAAAATATACATATGGTAGGCACACTTAATGATATTGTGGACCAAGTATTTTTAAATGCAAGTACTTATTTACTTAAGTAAAAACATTAATGTGGTACTTCTACTTTTACTAGAGTATATTTTTGTCTGTTTATTTGTACTTTTACTTAAGTACAGTGTTTGAGTACTTTCTCCACCACTGGTAGACACTGAGTATGTACTGGGCTGGAATATATATTGTTACCCATAACTTTAAAAGCCACTCTCTTTTTTTAATAAAATCTATAACTTGTCAAGTCAAGGCTGTTATGACTCGGGGAACCCAGAGTTGTATGAGACCCGGAACGAGACAGACACAGGTAGGTACAAAAGTAACAGTGTTTATTATTTGCAGTGGATAATAGACAGTTGCTTCTCTGCAGCTCCTGGAAGAGGAAGGAGATGGTCAGAGGGGGCCGGGAGGATAAACAAGCAATATAATGTGATGATGTTTCTCTCTTACAGGTTTGAAGATGTCTTTAGGTCCAACTCCAAATCCATGGAGGAGCTCCAGAGGGAGACAAGGCCAAGGGTCCAACAGGACAAGGGAGGCTGGCAACTGATGGCAGGCAAGGCACAAGGAGGACCAAGACAAAGCACGAGGAGAACCAGGACTAGGCACGAGGGGAACAAGGACTAGGCACGAGAAGAACCAGGACTAGGCAAGAGGAGAACCAGGACTAGGCAAGGGGAGAACCAGCAGAGGACCAAGGGAAACAGGACAGGAACAAGGGAACCAGGACCAAGGAGACAGGATTGCTGAGGACAAGAAAAGCTGATAAGTAGATTTACTTAATGTAAACGTACAGGCCGGAGGCACAAATACCATTGATGGTCAATGCTCCAGCGAAGAGTAACACCGGACTGCAGCCTTATGTAGTGGATGACTCGCATCAGGTTGATGGCCAGCAGCTGTTGACAATCAGCGGCCATCTTGGACAAGGAGCTGCAGACAATGGTACTCTTACAAAGGTGTCTTTATTGTCATTCACATGTGTGTGTGTGTGTGTGTGTGTGTGTGTGTGTATATATCAAGTCGTCAAGGTTCTTTATTGTCATACGCACCACATGTACCACATGTGGTGGAACGTAATTGTGTACACAGGGTCCCAGTTACATCCAACAAAAATACAAATTGTAAAGAAAAACTGTAATCAAATCTAAGATATGAACTAAGAAATATGCTAAACTAAGAATACACTAAGCACTAATAGTACAAAACAATGTGCCAAACAACAGCAGCACGAACATGAGTGTGTGAGCAGATGAGGACGAATGAACACAGCAACATGAAATAAATCAGCAGCATGAGATTGTTATTATGGATAATCAGCAGCACATATCAACAACCAAGTGGCATTACAGTGTTTTTTTCCACAGTGATTTTCCTGGTTAGAGATCCAAGAGTCTAACAGCCTCAGGGTGGAAGCTGTTCCTCAGTCTAGTGGTTCTACACGTTCCTCAACCTTCTGCCTGAGGGGAGCGAGGCAAAAAGTGTGTGTGCTGGGTGAGTAGGGTCCCTCATGATGCAGGTGCCCTCTTCCTGCATCTGGAGGTGTAGAAGTCTGTGATTGTGGGGAGACTGACTCCAACATCTTCTGTGCAGCCTTCACCACTCTCTGCAAAGCTTTTCTTTCTGCAGCTGTGCAGCCTCCATGCCACACGTTGATGCTGGAACACAGGATGCTCTCCACTGCACACCTGTGGAAGGAGGTGAGGACTGAGCTTCCCAGTTCAGCTCACCTCAGCCGCATGAGGAAGTAGAGTCTCTGATGAGCTTTGATCAACTTCTCCCGACAGGAGTCAGAGTAAGGAGGACCCTCTTACCTCGACGAAAACAAATTGGATTCATGATGACAACTGTTTTTTTGCTGTTTGGCTGGTGAATTCTGGATTGTCTATAAATTTGTGTGGATGTGTCGAATCTCGACAACGCTCAGACTGAATTTGTGGAGCTGCAGCAGGGAGCTGGAGCAGGCTGTTATCAGGACTGCGGACTCTCTAGCAGCCCACATGAAGGGGAAATAATCTTGGAGAAGCTGTGAGCTCGACTTTTGGCGTAAATGATCAATTCGGCTATTTTGGAGTTCCATCAGAGAAATATACATGTATACCAGCGAGACTTTAAAAGGCAGAAACAACAATTTCACGAGTTCTGCCTGACCCTAACTGTGGCTTTGACGCCGGACTTATCTCAACTCCTCCTGGAATGTTTTGAAAACAACAAAGATGCTTTGACTGTCTCCTCACCCCTCCCTTCCCCAAGACCGTGGACGTGTGACAGAACCTCAACTGAGCTGATGATGAATGTCACCTCTTATTTGGACAATGGCTGTGTGTGTGTGTGTGTGTGTGGGGGGGGGCCTCTGGACTATGCTATGACTTTCCCTTAAAAATTCAATGTTTTCACCGGCCTATATGTTCATGTATAATGTCTATTTATGTTGCTTTGCTGTGGTAGGTTTATTTGATGCCTCAAATCAAGTCTCAAGTCTAGGACATGGCGTGAGAGATCTTTTTTTATACCGTCTCTCCTCATGTTTTCTTCCCTTTTCTCATCTAAGCAAAATATTATTTTGAATAAGAATAAGAGGGCTGCGCTTTTTATAGTTGGAGCTTCATGCACTCCGCCCATCTTTCGGACGACTGTACGTACATGTTTGCGTTGTATCTTGGTGCAATGCCAATAAAGTTTATTCAGATTCTTCTGATTCTGATCAGGCTGGTAGTGTTGTTGCCCCAGCTGAGGTTGTCATTCAGGTGCACACCCAAGTACTTGTAGCTGGAAACCACTTCCACCATATACCCTCCTATATTCAGCGGGGGGGGGGGGTGTTCCGTCTGAAGTCCACAACCATCTGCTTTGTCTTCTTCACATTGATGCGAAGGTTAATCTTCATGCACCAGATCTCCAAGTGTTCCACCTCCTGCCTGTAGCTGGACTCATCATTGTTTGTGATGCATCCCACCACTGCTGTATCATCTGAAAATTTTACACAATATAAGTCCTAAAACTAACCGGTGGGTTTGGAAAGGGGCTTTCACTATTAACTGCACTCATACTGTTGAGGGACTCACAAGAATAAAAAAGGCAAAGTGAAACTAATGACTCATCACAGGAGTAGATCGCAAAATTCACACATTTGAAAATATGTGCGGATTTCAAAGTCCTTTTTTTAATTTTGTAAATGAAAAATCTTTCATGAATCTTTTTATTTAAAATAGCTGCAACTGAATTGCTCACAAAAGAGGTCATATCCCACACATTGTTACGCTGTGACTGATTTTGAGGAAAATATGGACAGTGTAGGGTTTTTTTCAACCTCTCTCCACCAGGTTCCTGAAGGCATGGGTGGTGCTGGTGAGCAGCTGCAGCTGGAGACCATTTTCTCTAATTGGTGCCAGGACTACTTAAGGCTTCAGTTGAGCTCCAGTCATTGCTGGAGCGTTGTTCTACCTGCTGGTATATATGCTTCCAGCCTAGTATAGTGTTTGGAAACGTAAATACCTACCTTGTTTTCTGTCTGCACATTTTCAGACTCTTGATGTCCTGGATCTTGTCTCCTCACCTGGAGTATTGGAGAAACCCTTGAAGAGAGACTCACCTGTGATTCTTGTTTCTCAGCTGCTCTCACGCACGTTCCACCACTTGCCTCTGCAGACTGCCTGGCCCTGCCGCCTTTGGAGAAAAACCCTGAGCTTTACTCACCCATCCACCTCAACTCCTTCTACTGTAAGGACCTCAGGTTTTGGTCGATCATCTGTTGGATTAATATTACCTATCATAAAGTAATCCTCCTCCTCTGTCGCCACAGCCCCAGACCCTGCTTGTAAATAGTTTCTATTTCTTCACTGTCAATAAACATTTTCAATTATATCTGAGTCTGGTTCTGTTATCCTCAGTCCGTATTATCTGGGTAACCGTCATTACAACAGAATGCTCCAGACCGAAAGCACCCAGAACGTGACTGAGAGAGAACAGTCCCAACACTCATTATCCTCACAGGTTAAGCGCATCGACAGCCATGATGCGACCCTGCAACAAATCCTGGAGCAGCAGAAAAGTAGCCAGTCCAACCTTCAGGAATTGGGAGGTATGGTTTTTGCTATAAATCAAAAATCTTCCACTCTGTTCCCCACATCCCATAGTGCTCCACCAGAGAACCCCCCTCCTAGAGTCTCAACCGGAGAAATGTTGAGCCTTCGCTCAGTGAAATAAATTTCAGACCATCTGAATTTTTTTTCTGGTGATCCTGATCACTGTGGTGGTTTTATCTTGCAATGTCATTTGGCTTTTAGTAGAGCACCACAGACATATTCTTCTGACGCCTCCAAAATAATTTACGTAGTAAGTCAGTTGAAGAGAGACGCTCTCCGATGGGCCAATGCCCACCTGTCAGCTCGACCTGTAGAGACGCTAACTTTTGCCTGTTTCCTAAAGGACTTTGAACTTGTATTTGACCATCCACTCCAGCAGGAGGAAGCAGTGAAGCGCCTCCTGACACTACAGCAAGGCAGAAGATCCATCGCTGAACACGCCCTCGAGTTTCGGATTACAGCAGCTCAAACAAAATGGGAGGAGTTGACGTTAATAGGTACATTCCTTCACTCTTTGTCTGATTATATAAAAGATCAGATTGCCGCCTGAGACAAACGCAATAGTCTGGATGAACTAATAAAGTTGGCTACTCGTCTGTATAATCGCTGACTGGAACGAGTCCGTGAGAGGAACTACAATCCCCAGAGAACTCCTGCTTCCGGTTTGAAACCGGGGCGGAACAGAATTTCATCAGCAGAGACCTGGTGTCCCAGCTAGATTTACCTACCCAGAACCTGCTGGCCCAGATGAGTTACTGGAATCACTGGACAGAATCTCACCCAGATAAACAACCAATCTCAAGACGTCCACTTTATCACTTCAGGAAACCACCACGAGCAGGGTAGGTTCTTCATTTTTGATTCACCCTCTCCCCAACTTATATTAGGTTTCCCTTGGTTAAAGACTCATAACCCCATGATCATTTGGGAGACTAAAAGAATTGAAAAGTGGAGTTATTTTTGTTTAAGTCATTGTTTACGTTCAGCCATTTCTCCCTCACCTAAAAAGATAGAGGAAGTACCCGAAGAGACTGATTTGTCTAATATTCAGTCTGCATACCATGATCTTAAATCAGCATTTAGTAAGTCCCAAGCACTATCTTTACCTCCTCATAGGCCTTATGATTGTGCTATAAATCTACTGCCGGGAGCTCCCCTCCCCTCAAGCAGATTGGATAACCTTTCAGGCCCAGTAAAAGAGACCATGAAGACTTACAGTATATTGAAGAACCATTAAATTCTGGAATTATTCGTCCCTCCACTTCCCCAGTGGGAGCAGGATTTTTCTTTGTATCAAAGAAAGATAAAACTTTGAGACCCTGCATAGATTATAGGGGGCTTAATCAGATCACTGTAAAAAATAAATACCCCTTGCCTCTGACCGACTCTATCTATGAACAGCTTCATTCTGCCACAATCTTCACAAAATTGGACCTTCGAAACGCTTACCATCTTGTGAGAATAAAAGAAGGAGACAAATGGAAGACAGCTTTCAAAACCCCATTGGGACATTTTGAATATCTTGTAATGCCTTTTGGACTCACTAACGCCCCAGCAGTTTTCCAGGCTCTAGTTAACAATGTCCTCCGTGATTTTCTCAACCAGTCTTTGTATACCAAAAATGTCTTTTTATTAGGGCTAACATGCGGTTGGTTCCAGGATGATAGGACAGCTTATTAGTGTGGACCCAGTCAAGGACACGGGCCTTCACTGCTGAGGGGACATTCATCCTGTCCTTGGGGCCGGTCTTGGGATCATGTTCAACCCTTTGAGCTTCTAGGACCTTCTCTGTGGCCCATGTGAGAGTACTGACCACACAGGACAAAGGGATGATGTTGACCTCCCTCTCACTGTCATGTGATGCTGAATATTGGTGAGACAACGCATCAGGTTTGACATTCTTGGATCTGGGACTGTAGGTGAGAGAGAAGTTAAAATAAGCAAAAAATAGTGACCAGCTCACCTGCCTGGGATTAAGTCGTTTAGCAATTTGAATGAAGACCAGATTTTTATGATCAGTCCTTATGAGGAAAAGGGGTTTCAGTGCTCTCAAGCCAATATCTCCATTCTTCTAAAGCCATTTTAACAGCCAGTAATTCTCTATTTCCCACATCATAGTTTTGTTCGGCTGCAGACAAACGTTTTGAAAAGAAGGCACATGGATGTATTTTATTATCTGCTTGACATCTCTGAGACAAAACAACTCCTACCCCTGTATCAGAAGCATCCACCTCTAGAATAAATTGTCTCTTTGGGTCGGAGTGGCAGAGGATAGGGCCAGAGGAAAACAGTTATTTAAGCTTACTGAAAGCTGAATCTGCTTTGGGGGTCCACTTGAAGGTCCGTAGTGTGGAGGTGGGCTGGGGGGGGGGGGGGGGGGGGTGCCACCTGACTGTAACCTTTAATGAACCTCCTATAAAAATTGGCGAAGCCCAGGAATCGTTGCAGCTGCTTGTGGTTTTCTGGGACGGGCCAATCCACAACTGCCTTAACTTTGTTAGGGTCCATGAGGTACTGTCCTCCTTCAAAAATGAAACAAAGAAATAAGACTGTGGAGACATGGCATTCACATTTTTCAGCTTTCACATAAAGTTGATTCTCAAATAGGTCTTTGTAGTACTGACATGACATGTTGAGTGTGTTGTACAGGGTCAGTGGAGTAAATAAGTACATCATCCAGGTATACATTTTTGTTGATTTGCTTTGTATGTTTTTTTTTTAATGTCCAGAGGACGAGATTTAACTTTTTTAGATTTTTCTACCTGGATTATTGAGCATGCATCAGGGTATGATAAATCATTCACAAAATGGAATTTTCTACTCTTTTTAGTCATCAAATGTGATGACACAGTTTGACTACAAATACATACTGTGAACTTTTCAGCATAAAGTGGAATGTAAAAAATGTAGCTGATACATTTGTTATAGTATATAGGCTAAGTGTAGTGTCTAACATCCCTAAGAAGACAAACCGTCCTCTGAGACACTGTGTCTTTTCCACCCCCTCTCTGTGTGACTCCTTCCTAATACAGGTCCCAAGACTCCTCCTTGAATCACCACCTTATCGTGGTGGAGGAGTTTGTGCGCCTGAATGATCCTAGAAGCTATGCTGTCAGAGGCAATTATAATTGTCCCTGGTAGGGTCTCCCTGTCCTAGGTGACAGGCCAGACAAAGAGCGATTCAGAAGATTTTTATGGACATGACACAGCAAGGAACTCGGTGTCCCTTGCCCAGATGTGGGTTACCGGGGCCCCACCCTGGGGCCAGGTGTGGGGGAGGGGCTTGTCAGCGAGAGCCTGGTGACTGGGTCTCTACCTATGGGGCCCGGTCGGGCTCAGCCCGAAGGAGAAGCATGGGTTTACCTTCTTGTGGACCCACCACCTGCATGAAGGGCCATAAAAGTTGGGTGTATGATGCCATGGGCAGTGGCCGAAGGTGGGAACCTTGGCGCTCTGACCTTGGCTTACCAAATCTGGCTCTTGGGACATAGAATGTGACCTCTTTGGTGGGGAAGGAGCCTGAGCTTGTGTGTGAGGTTGAGAGGTACTGACTAGATATAGTTGGGCTCACCTCAACACACAGCACAGGCAATGGAACCAATCTCCTTGAGAGGGGCTAGACCTTATTCCACTCTGGAGTTTCCCATGGTGAGAGGCATCGAGCTGGTGTGGGTCTACTTGTAGCCCCCCGACTTGGTGCCTATGTGTTGGAGTTTTACTCGGTAGATGAGAGGGTGGCTTCCCTTTACCTTCGGGTGGGGGGACGGACTCTGACTGTTTTTGCCTATGCACCGAACAGCAGTTCAGATTATCTGGCCTTCTTGGCGTCTTTGACAGGGGTGTGGGAAGGTGCGCCAGCTAGGGACTCCTTTATTCTGCTGGGGACTTCAATGCCCACATGGGTAATGACAGAGTGACCTGGAGGGGTGTGATTGGGAGGAACGGCCTCTCTGATCTGAACCTGAGCAGTGTTCTGTTGTTGCTAGTCATAGTTTGTCCATCACAAACACCATGTTCAACCATAAGGGTGTCCATAAGTGCACTTGACACCAGGACGGCCTGGGTTGTAGATTGATGATTGACTTCATAGTTGTGTCATCTGATTTGTGGCCATTTGTTTTAGACACTCGGGTGAAGAGAGGAGCTGAGATGTCAACTGATCATCACCTGGTAGTGAGTTGGATCAGATAGCGGGGGAAGATGCCGGACAGACCCGGTAGACCCATACGTGTAGTGAGGGTTTGCTAGGAACGCCTGACAGAAGAACCCATCAGAGAAATCTTCAACTCGCACCTCAGGGAGAGCTTTAACCGCATCCCAGCTGAGGTGGGGGACATTGAGTCTGAGTGGGCCATGTTCCTTACCTCACTTGTTGAGGTAGCTGCGTTGAGCTATGTCCGCAAGGTTGTTGGTGCTTCTCACAGAGCCATCCATGAACTCGGTGGTGGACATCCCGTGTTAGGAAAGCTGTCAAGCTGAAGAAGGAGTCCTATCGGGCCTTGTTGGCCAGTGGGACTCCGGAGGGAGCTGAGGAGTACCGAAGGGCCAAGCGGTCTGCAGCCTTGGCTGTTGCTGAGGCAAAAGCTTGGATTTCAGAGGAGTTCGGTGAGACCTTGGATGACAACGCTTGGTCAGCTCCAAGGAGATTCTGGCAAACCATCTGACGGATGAAAAGGGGAAAGCAGCACTGTATTCAGTGAAGGAGGGCTGCTGTTGACCTCAACCAGTTATGTCATCGGGAGGTGGAAGGAATACTTCTCAGACCTTCTCAATCCCACCAGCATGTCTTCCATGGAGGAAGATGAGTCGGGGGACTTTGGTGTTGATCTATCCATAACTGTGGCTGAGGTTGCCGAGGTAGTTAAAAAGCTCAGAGGCAGAAGGGCTCCCAGAGTGGATAAGATTCACCCTGATTTCCTTAAGGCTTTGGATGTTGTGGGGCTGTCTTTGTTGACACACCTTTGCAATGTTGCGTGGACATCGAGGGCAGTGCCACTGGATTGGTAGGCTGGGGTGGTGGTTCCCCTCTTCAAAAAGGGGGATCGGAGGGTGTGCTCCAATTATAGTGGCATCACTCTCCTCAGCCTCTCTGGTAAGATTTATTCAGGGGTACTGGAGAAGCGAGTTTGATCCTTGGTCAAACCTCAGATCCAGGAGGAACAATGTGGGTTCTATCCTGGTCGTGGAACACTGGATCAGCTCTTTACCCTCACTAGGGTCCTCGAGGGGTTATGGGAGTTTGCCCATCCTGTCTTCATGTGATTTGTGGATTTGGAAAAGGCATTCATCCATGTTCATCAGGGTACACTGTGGGGGATACTCCATGAGTATGGGATTGGATGCCCGTTGCTACAGGCTGTTCAGTCCCTATACAAGAGGTACGAGAGTTTGGTTCGCATTGCTGGCAGTAAGTCGAACCCCTTCAGAGTGGGAGTTGGACTTCGCCAAGGCTGCCCATTGTCACAGATTCTGTTCATAACTTTTATGGACAGAATTTCTCAGTGCAGCCAGTGGGCGGAGGGTTTCTGGTTCAGTGGCCTTAGAGTTCCTTCTCTGCTCATTGCAGATGATGTGGTCCTGTTGACGTCATCGTGCCATGATCTTCAGCTCTCACTGGAGCGGTTCGCAGCTGAGTGTGAAGCGGCTGGGATGAGAATCAGCACCTCCAAATCTGAGGCCATGGTCCTCAACTGGAAAAGGGTGGATTGCTCTCTCCAGTTTGAGGGTGAGGTTCTGACTCAAGTGGAGGAGTTCAAGTATCTCAGGGTTTTGTTAATGAGTGAAGGAAGAATGGAGCGTGAGTTTGACAGACAGATTGGTGCAGCGTCTGCAGTATTATGGACTCTGCACCGGTCCTTTGTGGTGAAGAGAGAGCTGAGCTGTATGGCAAAACTCTCTGTTTACCGGTCAGTCTACGTTCCTACCCTCACCTATGGTCACGAGCTCTGGGTAGTGACCGAAAGGATGAGATTGCGGATACAGGTGGTTGAAATGAGTTTCCTCCAGGGTAGCTGGACTCTCCCTTAGAGATAGGGTGAGAAGTTGGGTTATCTGAGAGAGGAGCCAGTTGAGGTGGTTCGGGCATCTGGTAAGGATGCCTCCTAGACATCTACCTAGGGAGGTGCTTCGGGCATGTCCGACTGGGAGGAGTCCCCGGGAAAGACCCAGGACACGCTGGAGAGACTATGTCTCTCGGTTGGCCTCGGAACGCCTTGGAATCCTCCTGGAAGAGCTGGAAAAGGTGGCTGTGGAAAGAGATGTCTGAGCTTCCCTGCTCAAGCTGCTGCCCCCATGACCCGACTTCAGAACAAGCGGAAGATAATGGATGGATGGATGGTTATTTCTCCATGTTCTGTATTTGCCATAATTTCACACTGTTGTTTATTGTTCACAAATTGAAAATGAACTTTACAGAATTGTGATTGTAACTGCTCAATTTTTACGTGTCTTATATGAGTGAAGGGCATAACAACAGTGCCAAGAATTCACTATTATTCCTTTGATTGAGGTCGGTCCACATTTATTACATAACTTTTGAATGGTTAGCGTAAAAACCTGTTACAAGATGTTCAGACCTCTTTATCTAATTATATCTCTACATAAGCAAGTAAGTTTGTTATGTATACACACTATATGTCCTTAATAAGTGGCAGGTATGTACAAACCACATTTTTCAGAACAAGAACAGGTGTCTGTAAAAACACAGCTACTACTAACAGTTATGTTTTGTAGCCAAACCTCTGATTTCTGGCCCCAAACAGGGAACAAACATGGCCACATGTACAGAGTTAAAAACACTCTCTAAGTTAAAAGAAAAAGCTCTAGTTATGTAAAGTGTGCATAAACATATTTTTACTTATTAGCAATAAGTAAATGCAGTAGCATCACCAAAGCCTTATTTGACAAACTCAAGGTCTGTTTGTACTTTGTAGTATTACAGGGAACACCCACACATCACACACGCGCACCATGCACATGCATGTGTGCGCAAGTGTGCGGTTTTGTTTCAGGCATCCTAGGGACCAATTTTGCAAAAAAAATTCCCACATTGTGGGAACCAACTACTCCTTGTGTGGACCAAAGCCAGGTCCCCATAAGGAGAAGTGTCATTGTGGGGTTAGAGGTTAGGTTTAGGACTAAGGTGTGAATTGCGGATGGCTTAGGGTTAAGTATGTACTAGTAATGGTTAAGGTTAGGTATGTACTA